CCTGAATTGTCTTCGATGAAGAGCTTTGGCTCGGATATAATTAATACAGCGTACTACAGGATCAATAACATCATTAAACTTCATATCTTTGGCACATAAAGCTTCCTGATGGATGATACAATGATATGAAAATAATTCCCGGCCTAAGAACTGTTTTAACAAGGCCACACAACCATTTATTTTTCCCCTCATAGCGGGTGCTCCATCAGTACAAACAGAATTAATTTTTTCCCACGCTATACCTTTTCTGTCGACACATTCCTTGATTTTCATAAATATGTCTCTTCCGGTACTTGTAGTTTCCAACTGGCTGAGCTCTAATAAATCTAAAAATACATTAAAATTTTCATCAACACACCTCACGAAGATGGCTAGCTGTGACATACTCGTCAAATCACAAGTTTCATCCAACGCTAATGAAAAATACTTACATTTCGTTACGGTTTGTGTTATTTGGTTGCTAATATCGTTTGACATCTCCTCTACTCGTCTTGTTACAGTATTTCTCGAAAGTGAAATACCGTCTGCTTTAGTTTTTATATTTTTATCATTACAGTTATTAGAAAAAATTGATAAAGCCTCTTTAATAATTTCCCCATCAGAAAAAGGCTTTTTATTTTTGGCTAAAAGTAAAGATATCTCATATGATGTTTTTACCATAGATTCGAGTTCATCAAATTTTTTTACAAACAGATTCTGCTGACCAAATATTTCTTTTTTTTTCTTCTTTATAAACTCAGCTCTTAGAGAACTTCCTTCCGGGTAGTTTTTATTAATACTTGAATGATTTTGTTTAAAATGCCGTTCTAAATTATATTTTTTGGTGACTGTAATCGTAGTGGAGCAAATAAGACATATGGGCTTCAATGCTTTGCTTTCAGTAAAGCAATATTGCATCTCCCATTCTTCGTGAAATGTCCGAGAACGTTCTTTCAATTTCGACGTAATTGGTTTGCTGAGAGCCATTCTGGCTTAAAATTAACAAGTAAAAACACAGAATAAACGCAATTATTACAAAATAATTTAATAATTATTAAGTTGTACATATTATTTTTACGACCGTAGCAAAAGGCGGGTGCGGAGCGACTGATTTTGGTCGCTGTTTGTACAATATTTCGGATAACAATTTATTATCTTAACTCGCCGATATACGACGACTACGTCGACGGACAATCAAGATAATCTATAAACATAAAAATAATACCGATTAACATCGCGACAAATGCGGGTTCGGGTAAGACGCATCCGGTCATCACAGGAAAACCCGATAACATTGCTGTGTGGAATGGTCCTAGTGCTAATTTGATACACACACTATATAAAATAAAATATACAACAAAATTTAAACTTAAAAGAAATATTAATAATAATTTAAAATGTCATAGACTATAGAGTATAGATGTTGGCGGGCAAATCCAAAAGCGTTGACGGGCCACTTCGTGGCCCGTGGGCCTGGGTTTGGGCACCCTTGGTTTAAATTGAATACACATACAATTACACACCTCCTTTAACGCGTCCATTTGTGCTGATTGCTGACAATGAAAAGGTAGTGATTACTATAATTATAAGAGACATGAAGATAATTAAAATCGAATCAAATATCCCAGCTTGTCCAACTATCCACGGCATTCTTAAAAATAACATAACACCCCAAATACTGAGTAGGCATGGATTCAGTACACCTTCGATCCATCCTAATTTTATACCTTGGTTCACATCTAATTTAGTTTCTTCCTCATGAACCAATTTCTCGAAAGATTGAATCTGAAAATGAATAATATACTTGTATAAGTTATGAAACGTTATATTATTATAATACAATCATTATACATAATTAAATTACCACTAGGGGCTATACTACCAAGAGCAATTAAATTCAGATCCAAAAACTATAACATAGAATTAAGAAAACTTAGAACTATCTTTTAACTTAAGCCATGCGTTAGAATTTTGAATTAATTTCATATAGAGTAAGTTTTTAAAAGTATATCTAGGATATCTAGGTAGAATTGTATAAATAAATTAAATTAATTCTCAAATATTCAGTAAAATAGTTAACATACTACTGTATCAAACTCTTGTCCGTTACTTTTTCTAACAATCTTCCCGGTTGCTTTAAGAAAAAAATTATCAAAATATCTACTCAAATGCTAATTTAATAAAAAAAATTGTTTTATAAATTAATTCAATATCCTCAGCAACTCATTCTCAAAATACTGTCACTGGCACCACTTTTGGTTTATTGAGAAATCTATATTCTATAATAAATAAATCCCAATAAATGGTATAATTTATTGAGTATCTAATCTAATCTAGTTTATATAATGTATAATCAGTAACTAATTATATTTCAAGCAGTTTTCATTATACATCATTTAATGAAGTAGCTTTAATAACAAATAAAAGAATATTTGTACCATTATATAAAGTTGAAATCACAGGTTTAAAACCCTTGTCTAAAATAGTAAAAAAAAAAAAAAAAATTATAAACTAAGGATGAGATATTTTATTTTTGACAGACTTGTTAAGCACTACAGTTTAAACCAATTAAACTGGAGAATTTTTAGTCAGTATAATTTATATTTATTGTCTACGAAGAAAGAATATATCGATGTTAAGCTTAATTCTTAGCGGTGAGTGTTAACAATCATCGATGGATGTCGATATTTACCAATCATTTCGGTAAATGTTATCTATTTTTACAAATACCTTATATTGCGGACATTTCCTGGTGAATTTTGATGTCAGTGGTGTAACTAGGGGCCCGCAGACCCGCATTACGGGGAGCCCATGGTATTTTGGGGTCTTTAGTTGAAGTAAATTTAATTTTCATGAAAAAAAAATTGAATAATCATTTTTTTTCAAATTCAATTAATGTATAAATCTATTAAATAAATTAAATTTATATTTATAATAATCTATTATATGAAATGTATTCAGACCAGAGCGCTAAAGAAATGGAAGGTACAATAATGAAGTCTTTTGAAGTAAACAATACACAAATAAATAAATATAGAGGTCAAGGATATGACGAGACAAACGTAATGAGTGGCGTATACAATGGCTTGCAAAAACAAATTTGTGAAAAAGAACCAAATTCTATTTGTGTTCATTGTGCCGCCAACAATTTAAATTTAGTACTGAAATATGCAGTTTGCACTCAACCGGTTCAGATATTTTTTGATAATATACAAAAATTTTATACATTTTTTAGTTCACGAATAAAAAGCTGGTATTTCTTTTAAACATAAATTTAATAAAAATAAAATTTAAAGCAATCATGCGATTGCAGAAAAATAGGGCATAAATACATCGTTTTCGAAAAAAGAAACAGACAATCAAAAAATTTTTTTGACGAACACTGTACTGACCAACAATTAACTGATCCCAAAAATAATTTCAAAATCAATGTATTTTACACAAATATAAACATTGCAATTTAGTTTATTTACCATAGGCGGAAATCCACTGAAGAAGTTAGGGGAGCAACAATATTTTATTTTTTTTTTTAAGAATATGTATGAAACTAAATTTTGTATGCTATTGCAATAATTTTTAGTAGCATTCTAGGAGGAAATTAAGCCCCTCAAACCTCATCCCCATTTCAGCCAATATTATTTATTTTATTGTAGTTTATTGTCACACATTTTTTTTTCTTTAGCACAATAACTTATATATTTATTTTACTTTCGGCACTTAAATAGAAACAATTATCTTCCTTTCTTTTTTTTTTTTGTTAAAAGCAAATTAAACTTTTCATAAAAATGTCTTTCAAATATTCCACTTTTATGATTGATAATGTTATGTTTAAATAAAATCAAAATTAAAAATAACACTTTTTAACACTTGAACGACATTGTTGCGTTAAGTTTATTATATGCATCAATACTAATGATTTACGCAGCAATTATTCTTTAGAAAATCGGATAACAGTCGAATACATTTAATTAGGATACTTAATAGGACGACGGTGATCTATCTGGCCCCATTATCCGACTTTCCCCATAAACCGATTTAAAAAAAAAAAGAACTAATAATTTCAAATATTTTCTCTTTGTAATATAATATTCCTTTGCTTAAATAATTAAATTCTTAAAATATTTATTTTTTTGTTTTTATATTTTTAAAAAATAAATGTAATAAAATAAAATACCTACTATTTTCAATATATTTTTACCAGTGTTATCACAAATATCAGACTTTTTCCGCGGCACACCAGTTGAGAACCACTGGACTAACCTAATATTTTTTGCAAAAAAAAAAAATACATACGTAATTCATTATTTTTTGATCTGCAGGGAGTCATCCATTCTTTTTTGGGGCAATTCCCATTTGTGTACATTTAAACTTTTTTGCGACTTGTTTGCGTACAAATGTACATCTCAATTACGGACACGAATTTTTAATACCTGCGATAAATGACCCAAACGTAGGAATCGTTTTCGTACATAAACTATAGCAAAAGTTTTTACATTGTACATTTTTTATTGATACATCTAAATAAAAGATCATATGATTTTAAAACACAGAACTCACTATACTTATAGCTTTCAATAAAAACAACGTTTTCTTATGCTCGTTTCAAAAACATTTGATAGTTGAATATCCATGGTAGTATACGAAATAAAATGATTGAAGCACGGGCAACTCGTGTCTCAATAGCATCACATATTCAACTAAACAATAGGCATATAGTAATAACTAAAGATGGGCACTATCGAGTTAAAACTATCGAACTATTCGGTTGTTTAAACTATCTATTCACTCGGCCGATAACTCGATTATTTTCGAAACAATTGACTATCGAAACAATCGACAATAGACTCAAAACAATCGAACGTTATCATTGTTATCATTGTAACTAAGTAGTAACTAACTTATATAGTACATATCAAACCACTGACATTTGACAATTTTGAATGCCTGTAACTATTTATGATTTAATATTCAATTTTCATGTAATAAAATACTCGATACTCGATAGTTTTCTAAAACTATCTATTCATGTATAAAATAATACTCAATAGTTTCGATTGTTTTCTAAAACTATCTATTCTTGTATAAAATAATATTCAATAGTTTCGATTGTGTTTTAAAACTACCGATAGTCAAAATTAGTCGGTAGTGCTCATCAGGTTCAATAGTTCAATAGATATTTTGAAAAATATTGAATAATTAATACTATCGTTCGAACGATCGTTTTAATAAACTATCGGTGTTTTATTAAACTATCGTCTATCGATAGTCAAAACTAGTCGGTAGCGCCCATCACTAATAATAACTCAATTAACTCCGTTAACTTAATTAACATATGATAACTCAAAACGTAGCGAAAACGTCTGCACACCAGTTAAACAAAAACTTTTTGGATCAAGTGTATCTCATCGATATGTTTAAAATAAATCATATAATTAAAAAGCACTGCAAGATACAATAAAAATCTAAATTGAGAATGAGATTTGATAGTACGAGTACATATATGAATCGTTATCTCTCAAGTCAAAATTTGTATTAGTTGGTTTTCATATTTTTAGTTTTATGCAAACAAGTTGTCAGTTTCCATGTAAAAAATTGTTTACCGTGCGCAAACGAGTATCACCACATGTTCGTTGTAATTTATTAAAACTCCTTATTGACAAATGTTGTACGTAACCGAGTCAAGGGCGTCCATATGGGGGGGGGGGGAAGGGAGAGACATGTCCCCCCCTGGAAAATGTCAAAACTCTTGGAAAATTGCTATGATCAGAAAATATTTATTTAAATAGAATTTAAAAATTTAATTTAATATATGAAAATCTATAATTTTTTTATGAAAAATCTATTTATTTAGTTTGGAAAATCAGGTTATAAATAACAATATGCTTTTTCGTTTCTATTCCAAGGATAATTATAAATTCTTAAAATATTGTGTATTTCCAGAAATACGGTACCTACCTATGTATATGTATATGTACACAACCATAATATTTATATAATATTTGTAAATTAATATTTTAATAAATATAATTAATGTTTTAAGTGTCCAATTTATATTATTAATTAAATAAAAATTTCAATAAATTAATTTTATGGTAAATTGGTTAAATAATTATTATTTTATAGTCTTCCAGTTTGATATATATATAATGTAATATTATAATGTAAAATTGTAAACCCCTTCCTATATCGTAGGTCATTCCTATTTATGAATAGATTGATGAATTAAAATGTTGTTGTCTCTTTGAGAATTTTCTTATGAACGCCCTTAGGCTTAGTGGACTCAACGATCTTCACGGAATATGTGGTTGTAGGAGAAAAAGGAATGATTAGCAAAAGTAAAACACGTAGGTAATTGTTATTATTTATATTTATATATTTAGGTATTATTTATTTGGGGCTTGAGTTATTATTATTTATTAGGTACTATTTACTATATGTATTTATATATTAATAGAGATATCTAAAGCCACGTCCACACTTACAAAACGACGAACATGTGTTCGCGAACAAGATTCGTGTGTAGATGTTACCGGAAAAGATGACAATCAGTCCGTGTTGACAATGACTAGTCAATAACGATAATGCCTGATTTATTAAGGAATTAATTTCAATACCTAGCCATTGATAACAATTCCTAATATAAGAAGGCATTGATAATAACATTAAAAATTAATTTAATATATTTCAATACTTATTAGCTATTTAGGATAAATCATCATTTTAATCTTTATTGTTACGTGGTAAATTACTATGACACTTGGAATTATATAATATAGTATAGCGGTACCCAAACTGTGCTCCGCGAAGCCTTTGGTGCTCCGCAATGGTTAGACTAGGGCTCCGTTCGTAACACCACAAAAAATTTAAAAAAATGTTCGTCATTTAAAATTAATATATATTTCATGAAGACTTGAATGTTCCATAATCAGATCGATCACCGATAAAGCGGTGTTAATATTTTTTTTTGAATGCTGATTTATAACATTGCCTAATATAATACGGAAATATTGATAAAACTACGAAATATCCAACACTGCCTAACCTTTCCAGTCATTGTCAACAATGACTAGGATATACTGACAATTCCTGAATTTTCAGCTTTTCCGTTAACATAGACATCGCGATCGAACGAACGATAACGTCGAATGTGCCTTCGGTTGCCTCCGCTCGGAGAGCGGTTTAGTTTGTTTATTTATTGGTTTTAATTAACCAAATTTATAACTTTTACAAGAAATTTGAGTTAAAATTTCTGTAGAAGTTATATAAATTACTTGTACTTATGACAGTACACTTAATTTTTAAGAAAAATTCATATGAAATTACTAATGAATATGTAAAACTCTAAGTAGATTATTGAAAAATACGATAAATACAAATGTAATAAATCGAAAATTTAACTTATTTTCAATCGGTTAATTTTGAAGATAGAGCAAAACTTTAAAGGCCAAAGTTGCTTGAAAAAATTCACATAATTCAAATTTGAACTAAAAAATGAGGGGTGCCATTTGAAAAAAATCATTTTGTTGCGCATGTGCAGAATTTTTTTTTTTAAAAATTATGATTTATTGAAAACAAATGTAATTTTATGTTCTTTATGCATTACAAAAAACCCGAATTGCATACAAGGTCATGCGTTCGAAATATTTTGTTACCTTTATCGTTGAATACACTGTATATACCATAAGTGATTAAATTTCTTAAAATATTATTTTTATAAGTGTATATTTTATCATTATACATGTATACCAAATCATATTATAAGCTTATATATTATATATTTATATTTTTCTTCTTTGAGTGTCTATCTGATTCTAAATGTTGGCGACCTTTTCAGCAATGCTCTCTTTGGTTTATCGTTGTTTACAAATATAAATTAAATAACATTATTTTTCCATTAATGAGTACCTAAATACTAAATATTAATCTTGAAAACTTAATTTAGATATAATTACTAATAAAGTGATAACTGTGAAAATTAATGAGTGATTACAAATCAACTGAAAAATATGTTATTTTAAAATTTAATAGATTTGATTCAACTCATTAAGATTTAGGTTCAAACCGTAACTTGGTTAAGATATGATTTGACTTCTCAATTTTGAGTTGATAAATTGATGAGTTGACTTATTTAAGTGAATTGAATTGAGTGAATTGATTCACTAAAGTGAGTCATAATTCCCATCTCTAATAATTATCATTACCGACTGAATACAATCGTCGACCGTCGCCGACTGCGGGTAGTGGGGGTGGTTTTAAACGTCGCATGCTTGCGGATCATGAAAATACTCAACAACGCGTTCTCTCGGCCGTTGTGTACGTTTCGCTTTACGTGTTATCTTCGTCTGACATACGTACAACATAGCAAATTTGCGTTCAGTGATTTAAATGTAGTGATATTAGCTTTAATATTAGAGTAAATTCATCTATAATCAATCTTCAAGGGAAGAATACTATCTGTGTTTTGTTGGTCGTTCTTTTCGGATATTTTAATTTTTTAGCGAGTTATAATGTTTTTTTAAATTTTATATTTTACATACTCATAACATGCTTAAAAATTAAAATATCGGATAAAACCAACCAACAAATAATAACAGATTATGTTCTTCCCTTAAAGTTTGATTATAGGTCTATTTACTCTAATATTAAAGTTAACTTCACTACAATTGAATCACTGAATGTAAATTTGCTATGTTGTACGTATGTATGTCAGACAGAGACACACATGCGGGTGTAACGTCCTCTTAACATAAGATTATTATATAAAATCTGATAGACAGATATTAGAAAATTACAGTTTTGTATGAAAGTAGGTGTGTATAGATTATAATATGTCCTATGTAACCGATAGTTCGTCCCCAATAAACGATGTTAAATTGCTTAAAACCTTAAATTACTAACCTATCATTCGTTTGGGAATCTGCCTATTTGCTCCCATTAAGTAGTTGGCCCCTTTTAAAGCGGATATTGGGGGGGCTTAAGCCTTTAACCTCACCTCAACGTAATCAAACCACACTAGACGTCAAAATAAATTGTATATTTAATATTTTATATTTATAATTTTTATTTTATTTTGTTGATATGCGAGAATGATCAGGAATATTTACGGACTATCGTTATTGGGAAAAAACATATTTTTTAGGTAATAAAGGAAATAAAGAAATAGATTTACACAGTTAAAATAAAATTAAAATAAGTAGCTATTCAATATTTTATATTTTTATGTTCCTATTACCTATACATACGTATTTGGTGTCTCAACTAGAATAAAGTAGAAGTAGCCACAAGTTAGTAGGTTGAAGTGTTTAAAAATGTCTGTTCACGCTAAGGAATAAGACAAAAATGTTAAACCCCCCACGGATGTGACTAAATATCCGCCTATGGTCCCCTTTAAGCGGTGTCCCCATAAAGCGGATTATACTGTATATAATATAATTGTTAAATATCAAGATCACTATATTGAACGATAACAATAATTATTATAATAACCAAGCATATGTCTCAAGCACGAATTTAAAAAAATCAAGTTTCAAAACATTGTGCAAAAATTCAAAAATTGCTTTAATGCTTCTAAAATATTTATAATAAAGCCTGTAGTAAAACATAAGATAAAACCTGAATATTTATTATTTACCTGATTTTTCCATTCATGAGTTTTCAACTGAATACCCGCTTGTTCAGTCATATTATTTATTATGTAGCGAACAGGCAACACGAATAAACAACTCAATATCTTACATTTACAATGTACCGAACTAATTGTAAAAGAATTTTACATTTTTGGAAAAACTTAAATTTTTAGATACCAGATTTAAAAATAAAACAAGAATAATTAAAAGAGAAATCCTTTAATTTATTTTTTGATAGTAATTTCCATACAATTTTTAAATTTAATTTAAATTGTTTTAAATACGTGATACCTTAAATGTATACTACTGGTTGTAAATTATAATTAGTTTAAGTACTAATTTCTGAAATTTACTACGCTTCAATTGAGAATGTATCACCTAATTTGTTAAGAGATAAGCTTCTACTGAGAATTATTTCTTTTGAGTGGGGCTAGCATATATATTATACAATAGTGTTACAATCATAAACCTGCCTAATAAAAACACGTCAAACACCAATATTATCAGCTAGTTATATTTCAAAATAAATAGCCAATGAAACACGTTAATAGATATGCAAATTAGCTTACAAAATATAAAATATTTAGTTAATATAAGAAATTTTAAAATCTTATATACGAAAAATTCAAATACGTCGAAATTATTAGTATATATATATATATATGCATTTTTGATTATAATACCGAATAAATTAATTATATAAGAAGTTATTGTTTACTTTAATAATTCCTTATTCGTATACACGATAAAGTTGTTGCTATAGAAATATAATAGTTCATTTCAAATGTGTGTTTTGTGTAATCGATGATTGAAAATGACCGTACTACATTCAGCGAATATCTTTTAAAAAACAATAAAATATATTTTTATGAAAATAGTACAAGTTTAGTTTAAGTAAAATAATGATAAATTACGATTCAGTTAACAATGCAATGCACCAAGGACGTGATTATGTAAGTGTTATACATGTATTGTTATCTATATGATACCTAACCATAAAACGTATGTAAATAAAATTAATACCAGGATTGTCAGTATAATTTTATTATTTAAAATAAATTATGTTTAATAAGATGCAATTCTAAATAATATAAATTTTATTACATCAATATTTGACAAGTAAAAATATAAAATTATTAATGAGATCCAATATATTCAATTAATTATATGAAATACAAAGATATTTTCAGTATTTTAATATTCATAAGCTAACCTATCGATACATAGAACTTTACACAATATTTTTATTTATAAATTATGATAAATTATATGTTTAAATATATCTATCAGCTATATTATTTCGTATTAAAGATGTTTCATTTATGAACGACCTAGTTCAATTGGAACTTGATATGAACTAATTCACATTTAGATGAACGAGTCATTCATCGTTCATATCGTTGACATCATAAACTACAATACACTATACAGTATACATCACCGTTCACTGTAAACGATGAACAATTTTAAGTTTGGATTGATTAGTTCACTATTTTTAGTTTCATCTGTTTAATGTGTATGTATCGTGTTAGTGTGACTACTTCAATGAATGAACACTTAAGGTTATGTAAACAAATAAATATTTGTATCATAATAACTTTTAGTATCATCATGTTCAATTTGTATTTATATATTAAATGATATGTCTTATGATTTATAATTAAAAAAAGATGAAAAGAATACATAGACACTATTAAAAAAAATGTTTATTGAAATAAATCAATTTTTCCTAGTGAATGAACAAAGTCTGATAAATGAACACCTGAAAAAATAATCAATTTTTAAGTACTTATTTTTTTTTTAATAACAACAAAAACATATATATTGTATAATAGTTAAGATCAACAACATAAAATCATGAAAAAAAAAACATAATATAGTTGAGTTAACATTAACAACACTAAACCTTAAAGAAAACATAATAATATACTTAGTAAAGTAGTTAACATAAAAAAAGTAAATCATAAAAGAAGCATATTAAACTTTTTTTTTTTTAAAGCTTAGTAGGTATAGTAAATAACATCAACATAAAATTTAACATAACATAGGTACTGTTAACATAAGTACAATATATAATAACATACACATTAAACAAAAACTTAAAAAGTATAAAATAGTTAACCTATTTATGTATCTAGGTATTTAGGAACTTTTGTTATTATTTAAGGTACTTAGTATAGTTGAGTTAACATCAACATACAATCATAAAAAAACATATTAAACTTACTGCTTAATATATTAAATAACATCAACATAAAATTAAAGTTTTACTAATTTTGATCAGTTTTTTTTTTTTTTGAGTACCTAAAAATATTATTGATTATTTAGGAAAATTGTTTAAAGATGGATAGTTATTGAAAGCAAAATGCATTGATTGTTATATTATAGTTACCTATTAAATGATAAATTAGAAAATCATAAAATAAAATGCACAGTGTTCATTCACTATTAAAAAGTAAAATACCTAAATTTAAATGAATGAACACCAGTTCATTCACTGGTTTTTGCATCTTTACTTGTACCAGTGCTTGAACACTATTACAATAAATGAGTAAATGCTTTATGTCAATTGATTAATATATCAATGGCTTCATAAGTGTAGGAAGAATCAAATATCGCTTTATGTATCTTACCTTATTGAAGATGTTTTAACGTTTCATTTCCTTACACCTAATTTTCAAAATATAAATACTTTGATAACAATGCCGATGATATTAAATGGAGGGAAAGAACAAATATTCTCAATCAAATGATTATAAATCTAATATTATGAAATTACAATGTAACCAACATCAGAATATTTTTTAAATGTTGATACCATTTATCATAGTAGTTTACTTCTGAGTTTCTTATTATTTAAAAGAAAACATTAGTATGTTCACGCATGTTCATTCACTGGTTCTGTTCATTTATTGGAGCAGTCACCCTATCTCACTATGTATTATCAATTAAAAATATCCATGTCATAATACTTAAATTGATTTGTTTACTGTTACTCAATTTGCTCAACTATTTACCCGATACGTACTATTTTATTTAAAGACGTATACACTTATTTTTTTTTAAATATAAAAATAAAAAATAATAATAATGACGTCTGAAATATGAACATACAACTACAAAGCCTTCTCATTTTCATATACCCGTATGTACGGAGAAAACACTATGAACACTACGTAATACAATATATTACATAATATGAACGACTGAATCACTGAATCGTTTATTTATGTGAACGGTAAGTTCCCCGTATCGTTGGTAGTCAATATGGAGAGCGATGAACGTTAAGTGATAATATAAACGACACGTAATAAATACGAACGATGACTGACTAAATAGTTCATCTATGCGAACGATTAATCCCATCTCTAGTTCGTATATATAACAAAAAAATAATCGAGAATGAATTTCCGTTTGAAAATAAACCATGTGTTAGTTTCTCAATAATTTCTTTTTATGTATTTATAATTATTAAACTACTTATACTAATAAGGGTTAATAAATATTTTACTAACTAGATAATCATTTTATTTTTACTTTTTCATAATAGATAGCTTGATATTTTTTATTTTATAGAATAAAAATGAAAAAAATATTTTGATCCATTATCGTTTTTATTTTAAAATTATACAGATAATACTTGACAACAGTTGACAAGATTAAATTAAGTTATCGAACATCCAATAAATAACAAATTTATTTTTAGCTTTAATTACATTTAGTTTTTTTGATACACATATATTTTTTGTACACTAATAGAATACGTATAAAGTAAAAAATATATTTTACATTTCTACCAATAAATTGTACTAAAATGCATTGCAGGAAAAAAAAAAGAAACAAGAAAGAAAAAAGTCAATTCTTTACTTAATAGAGAATTTTTTAAGAACAGAAGGGTAGGTATAATTCTCCAAAAATAACTTTCAAAAAGTAAAAAAGCGTCATGCTCAAAATTATAACTATTATATTCTCGTACCAAAAAAAACCTATCCAAAAAAATACACTGATATAACATTATCTAAGCTTTTAATTTACGAGGTACTTCAATCATTTCCCTAAACTTCTCTCTTTTCTCCTTAGTAATAAATATTATCTTTGAACCTATTTTGTTTCAAAATCACTATCCATTTACTCGGTGGCTGATATATACATATAATAATCTAAAATACACATGTTAGAGGACATCAATATTAAAATCAGACGCCAAGTATAGGATAATGATATTGAAACAAAACAAGTACATAGATAATATTTATAACTAAGGAGAAAAGAGTTTAGGGAAAAGGATGATTTACCTTGTAAATTAAAAACTTGAATAACGTTGATATTAGTGCATCTTTGGACAGGGTTTTTTTTTTTGTTTCAAGAATAAAATAGTTCTAATTATGATTTTGGCGTTTTTTACTTTTTGAAAGTTTTTTTGAGGAATATCAGTATTTTTTTTCACACCAAGAACTATATTGCTTATATATTAAAAGTATCTATGTATTATTATTAATTGTTATAAACTATAATATAATCGTCATTATTTTTATCATAATTATTATTATGTTTTTTTCATTGTTTGATGTTATTTATGTTTATAAATAGAAAAATTCCGATCGACGATGATTCCTATAGTGTATTTGATAAAGCCTATACTATATATAATATATCTAGAAGCATGTGATATGTTCATTCCGGTCTCAACACATATAAATCATTATATTTTACTATTAATACATACTAATTAATAAATAATCCAATGTGATTACACACTCTATAATAGAACAATTAATAGACAATTCCGGCATATTATCACGTATTATTATAATATTAAAATATGAATACAAAATATATACATGCATATAAAATAAAAGTAATAATAAGAAGTAATCATTAAGACTTTACTATACTATAATAGGATTTTAAAATTATGTTAAATTATATTTTATAAATATTGGCATAATCATAAAATAAATCATAGAGATGTTTTTACAATTATAAAATGTTTGTCGTATAAAAGCATCAAATAGAAATTGTTAAATGGTAAAGACTTGTATATTTACTGGAATGACTTGAATTTTAGCATTAATCCATTGAATACACTAGAGAAGAGTTTTCTGCACATTTTAGGGGGGATTTTGGAGAAATTTTGAGTTTTTTTTAATTTTTCTTTTTTTTTGTTTCCTAGTCACCGCCAATAAAAAGCTGTATCCCAATCTTTATCAAGTTTTATAATTTCATTATTCTCTACTTTGATTGCATGTTTTTTTTTACATTTTTTGTCATAACTACTACTTTTGCACTAACTAAGGGTTATGGAAAATGCAGAATGTTTGTTCTTGCCTTATTTGGCAGCTATGGGCATAGTTATTAATAAGTCATAAAAATATTTGAATTTATATTGCCCCTCCAGTTGCCGTGAATAATGCTTAACCCCATTTAGTTGTGCAAAGTATAATAAAGCATTGTACGGTCGACTGTTGTTCCATTGCTAACGCAGCGCACTCATTCTTTTTTTAAGCTTAGCTTGCAGCAGTTCAAACAACCTGCTTGATTTGATAGATCCAAAACATATTTAACATTAAAATTAAGTATGAATAGGTAAATAAATATGTATGTATAATTTTAATTATTTATTTATTTATTTATTTATTTTTTTTTTTTTTTTTATAGCTTTTACCTTTACGATATTATACCATAACAATTATTAGAATTTAGATATGAAGAAAAAAAAAGATATTACAAATAAAATAAAATAATAGTAGTACTGATATAATTGATTAATGCTTTACTAATTATATAACAACAATTCGTGGTAAGTAAAGTATTTTAAATGTTGAAACCAGCGTTGGAAATATAATGGATGACGAGAGTGATGACGGAGAGAGATCGATAATTGAGGAAAGGATTACATCAGGAAAGGTGTAACCTAAGGAAGAAAGCTGTAAGAGTAATGAATTGCGGAGATGAGTAAGAGACGGGGAAGAGAAGAGAATGTGATGAAGATCACAAATAACTTCATGGTTGTGGAGGGTGCAAAGGGGAGAGGAATTAAGAGAGAGGAGAAATTAATGAGGAGGGAGAAGATTATAACCAAAGCGAAGACGAGAAAAAGAGACAATTGTGGATCGGGGTGGATCCAGATCGTGAAACCAAGAAGAGTTAGGTATACAAGCGGATATAGATCAGAGCTAAATAGCGAAGTTAGGAGAAGGGAAGACCAAAGGTAAGTCCATGATTTTTATAGAGTTTTTTGAAAAATGGGAAGAAAATCAAACGTGGGTATTTTTAATGAAGAAGGAACAGTTAAGTTTTTGGTAGATGTGGCTAGCCGATCAGCTGTTTCGTTACCTAGGATACCAATGTGACTTGGAACCCAAAAGAATTCGACGACTTTCTGTGTTAAGAAAAGTTGATATGTTACAGATTTTATCATCAGAATGAGCGGAAAAATAGAAAAGTGAAGAGGTTAGATTAAAGAGAAAGTAGGCATGATTGAGAATCGGTAATAATTAGAAATCTTCGGGAATTTATAGAAAAAATAAATTGAAGTTCATGAATGATGGCGTGGGCTTCGGCAGTAAATGAAGATGCCGATAGGTGGAGATTGGAAGAGAACGATATATTGATGGAGGATATGAAAAAAGAAAACTTTGAAGATAGGATAGATGCAGATCCGTCAGTGAATAAAAAATTGAGTTTGGGAAATTGAAAGAAATGAAATCCGAAAAGAAGGAGTTTACAAGAACGTTAGGAAGTGAAGCTAGGGTTTTTAGAGTGTGACCGAGAATATTGGGAGAAATAGTAATAGATGGATTGAAAATTAACGCAGAGAAGGGTGTATCGTAGATATGGGAGCGAGATTGAGGATGGAGGGCTAAGCTTGAAAAGTGAGAAAGTGATGCTGTGACTGAAGCTAGAATGGAGAGAAATTTTGATACGTATTTTCATGAATTTTTAATTCTTGAAAAATCTGAAAATAGTGTAGAATCGGAAGTGGACATATAGCTTGGTCAAGTTGTTTATCGCAAGTGAAAAAGACAATGTCGTCGGCATAGATGTAGGAATTAAAACCCTTGGAAGAGATGTACTGGATGATTGAATTCGTATATACATTAAATAATAGAGGATAATTGAAGCAACTACCTTGAGGAAGTCTTCTGAAAACTTCACGCAAATTTGTGGTACTAGAAGGGGAGGAGAAGGTAAGAAAGTGGTGAGAAGAGATGAAATATAGTTGCAGAATGAGTTAGGAGCCCGGTTTAGACGAGTAGGTGACTTAGTAGTGATAAGACTGAGGTTGTGGTTGGAGATTGCAGTGTGAATGATATCACCATGGTAGTCATGGTGAGAAGAATCCCAAGCTAGGTGGTGACCATTAAAGTCCCTACCTATAATTGAATTTGTAGTGAAAAAATTGAAGATGTTATTAATGCGGAGGGGGGTTGAAAGGCAGAGGGATATAAATATACCATTAGATAATATAGTAAATAGGCAATAGAGCGGATGCTAGAAGATACAATGTGAATAACTCTGTAGATGTTTAAAGATTCAGGAAGCTTAGGGGACAGAAATTTAAGTTCGACAAGTTTGGTCGGTATATATTTATCATCACGTTTGCTACTTATACGCCGAAATTCGATTACTTCGAACTGACATTAGAGGCTCTCTCGGAAGCTTCTTCTGAAATGTATGTGTCGAGGCGTATAACTCCGAGACTATAAATCAAAGATCTTGGAATTGATGTTACATAATTGTTTTCTTTGGTCCTATGTGAAATGAGACATGTGTTATCGTTGAGTTGTGAGTCAAAAGTTACTTAAACTCTACGGGAACCGATGGGGGTGATATTGAGGATGCAATTAAAGTGTTGGGTGAATATTTTACCAAGCTTGACCGGATAGAGATTATCGATATTAGTATTATTAATAGAGTCAACGAGGACGTGAAATGGGTCCAGAGAAGCTTATATCAAATAATTCTGTTATCGAAGAACAGGGAGACCAGATGATGATTTCTGTAGCGGGATGTATATTAGGTAGTATTATATTAACGCCTGGATTTTCGCAATCCTTGGTATGATCGCAGGTCGGAAGTACTGATTCGGTGGAAATGTTATCTGAAACTAGATTTCTTGAAAGCATTTGCGGCCGGCGGAGAAAGGTTTTTGTTTTTTTTTTTTACATCGCCGTTATCGACATTGATATTTAAATTGGGCAGACGATTGAATGCACCAAACTTATTTTAGTATCTGTCCTGCGACGAAGGCAGCGGTATGCTGGTGAGCGGCGTTCAAGGACGCCCGGAGTGCCGTGTTGTTCCTTATGAGTCCGGTTTTGACGCGACTGCGAACGCGCTGATAAGCGAGCACGAAATTAGAAGATAATCGTTAACGATTGTCGCTAACGACGGTAAAATCGCGATTGCTTTATTTATTTTACAAAATAGATTGTTTTTATTCGGAGTAGATATTTTGATATTTTTGATTTTGGTATTAGAAATTGGTATGCCCTTTTATTTAATATCATGAATAAAATTAAAATATATATTTATAAAATAAATTAATGAAATCAAGTTGTATTCAACCATCAATAGACAAGAAACTCAAGTATTTAGGTACTTTTGATTGTACATTGATCAAAAACGATAAAATAAACTATGAATATTTTATGTATGGAAAAATCTAGGTTGTTTTGTTATAATGCATTAGTTATTAAGTTTATAATTATTAATGAGTTTATTTTCATAAAAAACAATTCCAAATATTTTGTATGGAATTTATGTAATAGGTACACAACAACGGCATCGAGTTTAGTAGAAGAAGCTTTTCTAAATACAAATCATCATGTAGTTTGCGATAATATAGATTTAGATACCATTCTCATTGAGTACGAAAACTATTATTATTTACGTTATCAAAAAAAACCAAAAATTAGTAAACCATTGGATATTGCTAAGACTAGCACTACTTTTGCTATAAAGAATAAAACCAAAACTACAAAAAAAACTAACCAAAGTCCAAGTCAATACTCTCAAGACAATCAATCACTAGACACGAATTTTATAACAATAACTCCTTTAAATAATTCGTGCGTTGAAACTTTAGAAAATGAATATTCTCTACCTTCTATTGATCTCGATTATTGGAAAGACGAATGGAAAGTTTACGCCGAAATTATTTCAAAAGTAATCAACATTAAGTATTTATTATGTACGATAATGTATTGAATACATATAGATATTTCTTTCAAAGGATATTTTAATGACAAACCCCAATGTGAAATGGTCTGACATTAAAGGACTTTCAACGCCTAAAAAACTATTAGATGAAGCCATCGTATTGCCAACAAAATATCCAGATTTATTTACTGGACTATGTACCCCATGGACTGCAATGTTATTTTATGGTCCTCCTGGAACAGGTTTACTAAATATATTTTGTTTGCCTTAGTAAAAAAATTTCAAATCGATATATTAGTTTTGTTTATACTTTTAACAGGAAAAACATTACTTGCTAAAGCGGTTGCGACGGAGTGTAATACTACATTCTTTAACATTACACCGAGTACACTAGTTACAAAATGGAGAGGAGATTCTGAAAAACTCATTAAAGTTATGTTCGAAATGGCAGAACATATGTCACCTAGTACAATTTTCATTGACGAGTTAGATACAATAGCATCAAAACGTATTGACCACGAAGCTTCTCGTAGGCTAACATCTCAAATCTTAATACACATGGATGGTCTGTCAAGTTCAAAAAAAAGAATATTTTTGCTAGCCACATCAAATCACCCTTGGTAAACTAAAGTTTTTTATTAATGTTTTATAAATTTGTTATATTATGTAGACATCAAAATATATTTAAAAAAATAAGTATAAGAAAATCAAATAGAGTAACAATAGACAAACTTTAAAATTGGTACGTTTTGTTCATTTAACAAAAAATTCAAACCAATCTTTCACAATATCCAATAAAAAAATAGCTATAGAATAAAATTCAGTACATTTACAATTATATAAAGTAGTAAATTATAATCATTAAACCCTATATTAAATATTGTAAATTGGAAGCAAGTTTAAAAAATAAAAATGCTATATTTTTAAGTTTAAAAAATAAAATAAAAAAAATAATTGTAGATACTTATAGTTAATTAATAGCTATATTTGGTATTCGTGTAATAACGATGATGCCATTACTAAACTAAAAAAGCAATAAAAATAATGTAATTTCAAAAAATAATGAATTTCATTACAAATGTTTAAATTAATTATGTTCATCACATTTAACAACCTGAAAACATAGCCCATATTATTAGTATTTTATATATTATTATAAATACTGATACAACACGTGTATCAAAATACAACTTCATTTTATCATATCTCGTCTTAGTGATACTTTACATGTAAAAATAAAAACAAACATAATTATTTGTAAACTTGAGACGTGACTTTTGAATAAAAAATAATTTTTATTAATAAAAAAAGGCTCAACTGAAAAGACTCAGTTTTTCAGATCTAAAACTTTATGTACCTAGTTCGAATAATTATGCAAACATAATTAATTTATTAAAATAATTTGATAGGTACATAAAAAAACACTACAAAATGATAAAATAGCTGTCATAATTTTTATAAATTGAAATTATTTGAAATGTTTATCTAAATATTGCTATTTAAGGGAATTAGATCCTGCGATATTTCGTCGTCTTGAAAAACGTATATTTATTGACTTACCAGATGTCCAAGCTCGAAAAGATATGTTTGAATATTATTTGTCAGAAATGTTACAAAAAAACAAGTACATTAAATGTAAAATAGATAGTGACAGTCTAGCACAAGTAAGTATTTATTACAAACAAGTAAGATTGCTGTTATAGATGTTTCAATATTGATGTAAAATTTACATTGTAAATAATGATTTATCACTCCCTTTTTTATAGAAAACAAACGGTTATTCTGGTTCAGATATAAAACTTATATGTAAAGAAACTGCAATGCACGCTATGCGTTTAATGTTTAATGTTTTGGAAAATAAATCAAGTAATCATTTCAACTGTATAATAACTAATAACGAAGTCAACAATACAATTTCTAAAACTAAGCCATCAACTAACGATACAGATAATAATAAATATAAAATTTGGCAATCACAATATGCATCATATTAAATACTTATATAACTTATACTATTGTTATTTGTATTTATTAATAATAATTGGGTAAACTACAGTCCGGCGATACAACAAATATTGTTAATAATTTAATACTGCGCACGTTGGTATAGTAAGAATATTAACCATAAAAGGAACCTAATTACAGTGTATATGCAGTGCCAGATCTACAAATTTTGTTGCCCAGGGTGCTACCGTAATATTAGCACCAATAAATAATTCATCATAAATGAGTTAATATATGGATTATTGTAGAAAATTTCAAGGTATAATAGGTTAAATTTAATTTTCAGACAATCAACATTACATATCATAGGTACGTAGCGTAGCGTTCTGTGTGGTTTCAGCATTACTTATGAACATAGTTGGTTCTCTACTCTTATTGACAACTACATAAATATTAGAATACATTAATATGTCAAATATGTTACTGCAATCATGCAATGCAATGGAAGTATTTAAAAATAATTTTTCTAAGACAAAAACTAACACAATTAATATTATTTAAAAACGAAATTTGTTTTGATATTAAATACTTAATAAATATTAAAAATACTTATATTATATGTTTTTATATTAAATTTGTACATTTTAACTTCCTACAGTACCTATGAGTTTATAAAAGTTCAAATAATTTTTAATTTTTGAAATCTAACGAGTGAAAGTACCAAAATGATTAGAAGGTGATGAAGTTCTATAGTACGTTGACACGTAGAAAATTATTTTTGTTACCCTGCAGAGCAGTAGCGTATCTAGAATGACTTTATGGGGGCGATTATAAGAATAAAAATATATCTACAAAATAATATTATATGTATTATACTATATCTATATGTACATTTTAAAATTTATTTCATAACATTTATTGATTAAATATTATACTGTCATTTTTATAAAAATTAAAAAATAATATACCTCCTCGTATTTACAATATTACAGTTAATAATAATAATAATAATAATTATTATTATAATTATTATAAAAAAATAACCATTATTTAATACCTATTATAATACATTTCAATTTTTATATATAAAATTAAATTAATTTTTTTTTTCTTTTTTGCTAATTCGTTTAAAATAATATCGTATTATAGAGAACGTTATTACCTGCATATAATATTACATTTTCATATTTGGATACTTGGTTAATATTAAACGCAACTGATCTACTAATACTGATCGTAAAAAATGCAAGCAATTATTAAAAATAACATTAAAAAAAAAGCCCAAGGGGGTGGTTTAAAGCCCCAAACCACCCCTGTGGATACGCCACTGTTGCAGTGGTACCATTCAAAATATGGTTCATTTTCATCTCACGAACGAAGTTGGTAAGAGTGTGCTCCAGTATTGTTTTTATATCTCGATTACATGGAGATTAATAAACAATACAATAAATATCTGATACAGTACACATACCACAGTCATAAAATTTCAAATGGTGGCACGAATTAATTTATCTTAATTTAAACTTAAATTCATAACATCAAAATATTTTGATGTTAAAACATCAAACATTAATGACTAATAATAACTATAGAATTACCTACCTAATGAAATTGCTAAATAAGCTCAAAAATGTCATCATTTTCTCAAAACATCGCCAATTTATGTTACTTCACATAAAAGCGATCTAAATAGTTACCCTTTATCACAAATTTATTGAATATTATTACAATTCCTAAAACTAAGAAAAAAATTATTCAATTAATTTATTGTATTTTTTAAATTATATATGACAATCCAGTTACACTTAAAATCATCAGTTTATCACTTTACTCCGTTTTAAATATTAGAAAGTACTTAACTTGAGTAATCACAAAGAAATAATTTTAAAAAAATGACCCATTGTAGTATATAAGTAAATATTTAAAGGACACTCAAAATATAACACGAAATATGTAGATCTTGTATTATTCATATCAACATAGTAACAATAAAACTTCAATTAATGTGGATTTAGTTCTAAATATTTTATTCACAATCGATTGACCAGTATTTTAACATTAAGCTAACTACTTCTATTTGTATGTTTTCACTACATTTAATCTATACTTACCACTTTCAATTCTTTCCATTTTTAATTTTTATAAAACAAGATACGCGTTTCAAAACTACAGATTGTGACGTCTCACACCCTTTTCGGCCTCTCAGGTTCTGGTGGTCATATGACAGACCTGGATTGAGGGTCGCCAACCTGTGGCCGAGGCTTCAGAGACGGAACGCACAGGATTTTTACCAATAAATGATAGGAAACAATAGAAAATACCAACGAAATTACAACTATTATAAATAAAATACAAATTGTTTTTTTTTTTAAATATGAAAAAATTATTAAATTTGATCGCCGAGAAAGTCGTTGGTATAAAGCTTAGACAGAATAAAATTAATAATAATAATAATAATAATAATAATATTGAAATGAATGGTCATATAAGTACGTGCAATATTGTAACCTCATTTGAGGGGCCTCTGATGCTTGCGGCACCCGGAGGACAATTATTAAAAATAATACCAATTACGTTGGTTCGATCATAAATATATATGTGATACATATAAAGAGTTATTTACATTTTTTTTAACTTTATACTATACCAATCGGGGTAAAATTATCATGATTTTAATTACCACTTACCTGATATTGACGCGTGTTCTTGGACATCGTCCATACGGACACCGGGATTGGGTGTCTGTCACTCGCTCATGTTGTTGATAAGACGACAGATGAAAGAAAAGGGTTTTGAGTACTGTTAAGTTTTAACTCTGACCGATATCATACAAAATAATAATCAAACACATCAATATCTTATGAGGTTTCTGCGAGTGAAAGACACGTATATAGTGCACCGTGGCAACTGTGTTCACCGACCGCAGATAAGATTGAAAAAGTAATAAAAAGTTCATAAAATATGGAGGTTAACGCGCGCGTCTACATGTAGGTCTCCCAACAATCTCTCCGCGCGGGCCTGATTCTGGAACGTTGCAAGATTATATTCTGTATATCATATTATATGGACTGTCCCATGGATGACTCAAAACAAAAGTTGTTTCAAAATTATTGTGAGAGGCCTAACTGTGTAAGATTGCCCAGTAGTTATCCCCAAAAATGGTTTTGTGACGATTATATAATAAACAATGGCACCTAAAGTTATATTTAACTATGTATCCAACTGGCAGTGTATTGCCAGTTAAAAAAAATATATATATATATTATATTAAATTGGTAAATATGTAGTTAATTTATAAATAATATATAATATTTGAACAATATTATTTCTTAAATTTGAATAATATAAAATCATTTATAACCCAATAATTGCTATTATTATTATTTAAACTATATTTTCCTAATAAAATTCACAACATACAATTAATAACTACCTAATCATGATTAATGTATAAAACAGGAGATTATATAAATTAAAAATTACTTACCATAAATTTATCAAGCGCCTGTAATTTAAGTCTCTCTCTCAAAAAAAAAAGGTATACATAAACTGCATCCTGTTGTATGATTATGAATACATTTTTCTAATTTTGATATGTTTTAAAAATCAAGAATATAACACATAATAAGCGCCTGGAATCTTATGAACACCATTAGTGTTAAACCTTTTTTTTTCAAACTCAAATCATGTGATCACACACAGGTGATATAAATAGAAGATTAAAATGATGTTTGATGATGACTGATTTAATTATTATATATCAACTTACAATTATTATAATTCAGTTTTAAATGCATTGAAAATAAAATTTTAGTAACTAATATTTACAATAAAATAAAAATTGACAATGTTGTGAATAAAAGAATTGTATTTTAATAATAAAAATTAAATAGTTTAATATTTATATTTAAAACTTTAATTTATATTAAGTGACCAAAATAACCTACTCATAGGTTTTAACAAAAAAATCAAATCTATATACAGTTGCTTTAAGCATTATATCACGATAAAATTCATTAAAAAAAAAAAAAAAAAAAAAAAAACTAAAATGACAAAGGTGTACTCTCTATTTATAATAATAACGCAATAATCAACAAGTAGGGTATATACTTATATGTCGATTTAATGTAATCAGTTTGTCTTACAAATAAACACAATCACAATGTGTATTTTAGCTTATAATAGAAGTTTATTTTTATTAAGAATGATTAGAAATAGTACGAACAAAGGCAAATAAATATCGCCAATGATGATCCAGTCAAATAATAATACGTTCAGTTGCGCCTGTAAGGATGGTACGGTTGTGCTTGGTTTGAATTATAATTATTCGCTCTGGTCGGTCCTGGAGCGTTACTGTACGTTGCCGCCGGTACTCCGGCGGAAACGACTGGCGTCACTACCGGGGCCACTAAATTATAGAAAGTTGACAGTTTAAATCCTAACTTTTTCCAATTTTTTTAATTTTTTTTTTTTTTGAAAAAAGTAATAACACATAATAGATAGAAAAGAATAGGCAACACTGCAAGTAGGAAAAGTTATGTATAATATATATATAAAAAAAAAAAAAATACAAAAATGGCCGACTTTCATAACTGAATGACATATTTTATTTAAAATAATCTCGCATCAATAAGATGAGAAATATATAAAAGAAAACATTATTATTTTTAATTTATGGGAATAAACACATTTAATTACAACTCGCAATGTCGCCCAAAAAATAGGAGGGGAAATAAATTAATGGACACTCAAATATTTGTATTGATTTTTTTTTTAATATTTAAACAATTATTATTATTATTATTATTTATTATTATTATATTATTATTTTGTTTTTAATCACGCCAAAAGCGACCTTCTACATAATTGAAAAAACACTAACTGACAATAAATAATAGGATTTTTTTTTCAAAGTAAAAATTGTTACAGGCTAAAGTATTAATAATAAAGCTCAAATTTGTTTTTTTTCACAAAATAATTAAACATTCATAAATAATAAATAAAACGAGAAATATATAAATAAATATCTATATAAATATTTCATAGCTTTTTGTCACAGGTTAAAAAAGTTCTCAATCGTGTCCTATCCGTCGAATATATAAAATGTTTTGATAAAAAAAAATTCAATAATTAAAACAAATTCTTATTTAAGACCATAACAACTGTAAACCTAGACTTATTTTGTACAAAAAATATGCTTATAACTCATCACATTTAAGTCGTTAATTGTTTAAAAATATAGTTTTGGTAAAAATTATTTTTTGAGAAGAATGTTCTCAAAAAACAAAAATTATTACTAAGAAAATGTCATCCTATAAGTAAATACAGATAATATAACTTTAAAATTTAATTACTAATTGTGTAATCTTATGTTATTATTTAATTTTAAAAATAGTGACTTTATAAAAAAAACCAGTAACTTACTAGGACGAGCTTCTGTTATATATATATATGTATATATATATATATATAAAAAAAAAAAAAAAATGACAAATAGTCGGGACAAGATATTTAAAGTAACCTTGACTTATTCATTAAATAATTCAACTCTACTTAAAAATGAAAACAACACTTATTTTTTAAACGATTCGAGAATCTTCCTTAAGCCTGTATGTACATTAAATTTTTTTTTACCAATTAATCAGTCCAGTGGTTCTTTAGCTATCTATTACAATGTGATTTTTAAAAGTAATTTTATAAACCTAAGAGCTTGAAATTTACCCGAATTTTGTTAATATTATTTATATTCCTTAACCCGATTATATAATTCCCTTCACACTAAGTTATAAAATAATTATAATCGAAATAATTTAGATGTACTGCCTAGTCTCACTTTTGGTTTCACCTTAAAAAAAACATGGTGCCGTTACTTTTTTTTTTTACTTAAGACCAAAGAAAAATAAACAAACTATGATAACAATTGTCATATGTCTAAAAGAAAAAAAAACAGGCTAAATTAAATATATAATAATAATAAAAACCATTAGAATCTAGGGACATAATAATTAATACGCTAAAGTTCCATTTGTTATTCGAGTATAAGTTAAATATTATGTAGTAATTATAAATAGATTGTATTAATATAGATATTTAATATATAATTCTATTATATACGTAAGAATTACAAATATTAATCAATACTATAATATTCCTAATTTTCTTTTATATAAGTTATATTATTTTTAATTGTTTCGTTATTATAATAATTGTGTTACCCAAACCAGTGAATATTGAGAGAAGTGTTAATTGAATTCAATCAGTCATGAAGTGGGCCATTCTTTAAAGTCAAATGGCTTACCATACCCACCGCCAGACCCGAGACCAGCGGCTGTGCCGTCCGCCCCTCTATAAGTTTGGCCTGCACCATAGCTGGTCGAATCCTAAAAATATAATTTACTCCAATATTATCCCACAATATGTAAAACTATAAGTCTAAAACTACTAATATAAATACTAAAACTACTTTAATACTAATTAAAAAAAAAAAAAAAAAAATATATAACTAATATTAAAATAATGAATGACTATTTGTAACAGCTGTTTTATAAATGATCATGTACTATAACTTAGTATCAAAATAGTACTCTTATACAAAATTAGGAATTATTAAAAATAAAATAATGAAATGGAAAATATTCAATTATAATTAATACCACTAAATTTTTTGAATGCCTAAAATTAAATTATCAAAAAAAAAAAAAAATTTGCTCTAATTGTCGTCTATTTAATTATTATATAATTTGATGACCATAATGTTTGAAATATGTATATTTTGACTAAAAATTGATAACAAATTTAAATACTAAAAACTATTATTTGTACTTAATATTATATATAACTATTTTTTGTAAAAAAAATTTATTTTAGTATTGATGATAAATTACATCAGTAGATTAATAAAATTCAACAAGATTTAGAAAGATTTAATTGCAAAAAAATCTATTTAAATAAGTAATTAATTAAATAGTATAAACAATATTTTTAAATGAAAAATAAGTAACAAGATCCTGTTAAAGCATTATAAATGATAATAACTATTTAAAAAAAAACTATAAAACAACCAAATAAATGTTTAATTTTTAATATCTTATTAAATAATAAAATTATCTAATAAATAAGACTCAATATTTAAATTCAACATACAACTTATGATTTTTAATCATATTATAAAATTAATCAAAAAAAAAAGTTGATTGATTAAATAAGTTAAATAGAACAAGTGCAAATTGTACGGCATTTGTGTTTATATTTCATAATAATAAAAATAAAGATTTAAAAATGTGGATAAAATAAATATATAAAATATTAAAACCAGGACATTTTTATTAAATTAACTAAAAAAATAAAATTAAAATATATGTTATGTATAATAATGTAGAAAAAGTAAATTAATTACTACAAAATAAGCTTTTACAATACTATAATGCATTTCTTTTTATGGTTCATTCAATAATATTCAACACGTAGTTTAAAAATCATTAACTTATATATTATTATAAGGTTAGGTATATTTTATTTAATGAAATTACAATATAAGATTCAAGTTTTTTTTATAACTTAAAAATACATAAATAGTAAGATCTTATAATATTTAAATTAGATTAATTTATGTTATAAATTTCTTAAAATGCATTAACAAGAATAATGAAATATTTAAAATTATAATTATCCAACTAAAAGTATAAATGCAATACATAATTCAATAAAAATATTATTTAAATGCCTAGGAAATAATTATTTAACTAAAAAAACTTAATTCATTATCAAGAAAATGGACAGAAGCAAAAATGAATTGTATTGGTTTCAGAAATATATGTTCTTAATAATTAAATTATATTATACTCATTTAAGCTACTTGTATCATATGATAAATTACGGAATAAAAAAATTTGCAGATGTATTTGCCATTTTTTATTTAATTGAAGTTGAATATGCATTTATAATTAATTTGTAAATGTCTCAAAAATATCCAATTACAGAAATAAAAATTATTTATTCATGTTCATTACCAATATTTTTAAGAACTATAAAACACTAAGATTTGATCAGGAAGAAAATATGGTAAAAAATAAATTTAATATATATATATATGTATATATAAACTATACATATTCTTTAAATTAGTAATCAAATTTAATAAAACAGATATGACTAAAATAAATATACATACTTTCAACTTTGTAACATAGGATATATTAATAACATATAATTAAAGGCATGTTTTAAATTTAGTTACATTTAATTTAAAGATATATTTATAAAAATACTTTCGTTTTAAAACAAATTAATGACAGAATTTATGTTTTTAATATAATTAATATAACTATCATTGGGTATCACAAATATTCAATAATTGTAGGAACATAAATATATTATATATACATTATACACATTTCTATGAGTAATGTACACGTTAATAGCTTAACAGAATTATTATTAAAAATTTAAAAAATAATTTAACATTGATGTATTACTATTTCAAAAAGCTCAGTGGTGGCAAGTTTTCATTATGATTAATTTAAAAGCTTAAATTGTTAAAATAGTGTAAAACCATACAATTTACATCGTTCTGTATATTATGTTTTTAAATATATTCAATTAAAATTAAAAATAATTAATAATTAATAGAATATATTTAAAATTAATAGAGTAACTAAATAGAACTTTATGTATAATTCAATAAATCATACCTGTTGATAGCCAGTGTAGTTTCCATACCCAGCATAGTCACCAGCTTTTTGTGGGGCAGTTCCCGGTGGAGTAGGTCCAGTTGCTGGCGCTGCTCCAGCAGAGCGAGAATACATATCATCTAAAAAAAAAATAAATAAATAAATACACAAATTCATCAATTAAACTAATTATTGAATAGCTTACTTTGAGGTCCTGGTCCAGTTTGTCCAGGAGGTCCTGTAGCTGCTGCAGGTCCATTCTGTGGCATATTCCAATTCCAATTATTTCCATAGCTTGATTGTGGAGGTGCTTGAGGTGCTATATTATATATTTAGCATTAAAAGAAAAAATAATAATATAGAATTTAAGTATTTAAATAATTACCATAGGATCCATATCCAGGTTGTTGAGGTGGTGCATAATTTGAACCCCAAGTTGGAGGAGCCATTCCTTGACCTTGGGGACCAGGGGGAGCACCCCAACCTTGAAATCCACCTGGACCAGATGGAGTACCATAACCAGGATATTGAGATTGAGGTGTTGAACTCCATCCTCCTTGATAGCCTTGCATCATATTTCCAGGACCCATAGGTCCCATTCCACCCATGGGACCTCCCATTTGTCCACCTGGACCACCCATACCCATTCCCTAAAAATATTTATTTTTATAATTAAAGTATACTAAGCTTTGGTACCTTAATGTTTTATTCAGATTATAAGAGTATAAGAGTATCAGAGTATAAGTATATGTCAATAAGATCCTTAAATGGGATGTTATTTTCATTAATTAAGAATTATTTTAATCAGCCAAGTATTATACTTAAATGTCTACATAAAAAATTACATTTACAATATATTATTATTATTTTTTTTTTAATTTTACTTTACAAAATTTGCAAATTATAATGATATAAAACAAATCAGAATATGTATAAAAGAAAAGTATTTTTTTAAATTTATTATTAATTTATAAATCTATTTTATAATAAACACAAATGTTTAACAGCTATATATAAATGTATTATTTTATGATAGTGTAGATTGAAAATATTATAAGATAATTAATAATAATTAAACAAATCATATTATTAAGTAGATTATAAGTGAAATTTGTTTCATGTTTAAGGACCACCTTCTATAACATGTTTCTTCATATTTTAGTTTGTAATATTAGTATTAAATTTATCAAAGTAATTAAAAATATGATTTGATTTATAAAATTGAATACTAATATTACAAACAAAAATTTAAAGAAACATGTTATAGAAAGCTTTTATTAAACATGAAACAAGCTTCACTTAAAAAACCTTTGATTCAATCTCATAAAAAAAAAAAATTTATTCAAATTTAATCATAAGTTAAAACCAAATTTATATTAAATTCAAATAAAAAACACTTGGTTCCTAAAGTACATTTTTGTTTTAAGAAGGGGCAAATATCTTTGATACAAAATTAGAAATATTTAAATTAATTAATTTAATATTTAACTATAAATAGTATATAACATAAAATGGTAAAAACAATTAAACTTACACCCATAGCTAAATGATTGCTTTGATTCATGCCCCACTGATTGGCACCAACATCGTTCATTTTGTTTGAGTCTCTAGGTTCTGCTTTTTTAATTTCAACCTGAAACATATTAACATTAAAAATAAAACATGTAAAACAATAATCGATGACATATAAGCCAAAAAACAAAAAAAAAGCATATTGATTAATAATTATACTTTATTCTTAGCATTAACTGAAAATATATAATTATAACTATAATATAAATTAGATGAATTAAAATAACTGTATTAATTAAATATACTGTATCACTTTTTTTTTCTAAATTTGATAACATTAACTTAAACTAGTCTCTAGAAATATGATAACAGATAAAACTTTTAAGAATATTCTAATAGTATTATAATAAATGATGATAACTATCTTCATAACAAGACATTAAAACGCGTTCAATTTTTCTTAATTTAAGTTCTCACACAAATAATTTAAAAGAGGAAAAAAGATTTTACCCATCATTGATAAATAAACAGTATAAATATTATAAATAAAAAATATAGAAATTATAACCGGTCTTAAAATATTGTAAAAAAAAAAAAATATGTTTGAACTATTTAGGACTAGCTTAAAACTCATTATTTAGTCAATCTATTTAATATCTTATACAAATGTAACAGTTAAGATTTAAATAAAAACAATTTAAAATAAATTAACGTAGTAAGAAACCATAATGAATCTGTAATTAGGCAAAATTAAAGTTAATTGAGGCTTATGCAAATATACATACATACACTACCATGAAATAAGCTATTAAATTTCCTGAACTTAAATATTTATTATTTAATAAACAATGAATTTTTTGTTTAATGAAGAACTATCAGTAAAATTAAAATTAAATAATATACTTATGCAAGGAAAACGGAATATCATAGTTATTAAATGAATCAAATGTCTAACCAATTAACAAATTTTACCATTTAACTAGTTTCAACAGATATATTTAATACTCAAATTTACCAAATTTTATATTTTGGTATTGCATTATTTACTAAAATAATAATACCTGTTTGCCACTAAGGTTGACAAAATGCTCAGCTACACATCTATCAACTGCATCATCATCTTCAAATGACAAAAATCCAAACCCTAAAAAGACCATTGGTTATGTTATGGTGAAAATTTAACACCATATTGACACTGCTGCTTTCTTGTATCAATAAAATGTTTTACTTATTAAACAATTTCAAAATAATGTGACTATTAAATCAATAATAGTATTTATTGATTAGTATCAATCATAGTAAGATGTCAATAAATCAATAGACAAATTAAAAACATTCAAAACTGATATACCAAATATAAAATTATAGAATTATATCAATATTAAAAAAGATCATTTTTTAATTAGTTGATTTTTTTTTTTTTTAATTTTAATCCAACTAATATATAAATTATTTAGTTTAGCATTTAATATTAATAAAATTAATAGAAATTAATAATGATAGGAAATAATCAAAAGCAATTATTAGTACAAGAAAATGGGCAATATTTTAAAATTAGCAGCAGTGTTCGACAAATATTAGTTTAAAGATTTTAAGTTAAATTTAATAAAGTAAAATAATAGGTATATAAACAAACATAAATAGTAAAATCATATCTATAACATCTAAATATAATAAAATAAATAGTAAAATTAGTACAAATAGGAAACAAAAACAGATCAGTTAAATAAATGATAAATATAAAGAAAGTCGGAAAGTAATTTACTAGTTAATACATTTCAAATACTTAGTTCTACATTAACTGATAAATTGTAGATATAAGTCTAGATATTTAATTTCATTAAAATTAAAATAATCTTATTATATAAAAATTAAATTAATGAAATTTTAACTTAAAAACTTTAAATCATATCTAAATTAACAAACAAATATCACAATTTTTTATCTTTAATTTAAACTAATAATCTTAAATTCAAGTTACGTCTAATTTAAACATAAATCAGACTTAAAGTCTAAGAATAATGTAAGTACCTAAATCTATTTAGAGCACTATCTTGGGAATAAAACCATATTATATTAATACTAATATAACTTATTATGAATGAAATAATATAGTATAATGTAGTATAATTAATTATAGATATTTGAATTAAACTTTTAATATAGTTTTATGTTTGTTTAAAAACCTAAAATAGTGGCATTATTCAAGAGTAATTAATATATTACCTCTTGATTTTTTCTTTTCTTGATCATACATGATTACAACTTCCATAACTTTTCCGTAGCGCGAAAAGAAAGTCCGTAAATCTGTTTCAGTTACATTAGAGGGTAAGCCGCCCAAAAACACTTTAGGATAACTTGAACTTCTTTTAGGTTTTTGCAAAGTCCTAGGATTACATGGTTTTGGGTCAATCTAGAAAAAAAAAACAAATACCAATAGTTAAAATAATTATTTTGGAATATAAAAAAAAAAATGTTTGTGTTCATTTTATTAATGTATCACAATGTTGTCACTTACAGTGCGACCATCCAAAACATGCGGTCCATTTTGTAGCACTACATTAACATTATTTGGATCAGCAAATGTAACAAAACCAAAACCTCTTGATCGTCCACTTTCACTGTTCTTCATAACAACACAATCAATTACTTCACCATATCTGTTAAAATATCTTTGGAGGCTTTCTAAAGTTAAAAAAAGAAAGGAAAAATTAATATTTGGAAATAATTAATTCTAACTTTAAAAAAACATTAGATATTCTTGTATACTTAAATGTAATAGAAATTCTAACATTTAATGTTAAAAAAAAAAAAATGGTTAAAAATTTAATGCAAAATAGGTAGATCAAAAATCACAGAAACATGATTTTGACTCCAAATAGCTCTTACTTAACATTTTTAGAATTTTATTCATTTTGACAATTGTGATTGAAATTAAAGTATTAGTTTAACACTTTCAAAAAAAAAAAAAAATAATTATATTTTCAAACCAATTATTGAAAGCATAAATACAGAGCAAATAAGGCAATTTTTTTTTAAAATGTAGGTTTTTTTTTTTTTTTTTTAACTTAATTTGGTTATATATTTAAAATTATTTTAATCTGTGTCATTGTACTGAAGGCCATTAACTTTTTAAAAATAAAACCACTTAAGTAATACAGTGGCCAACCAAATTTTCCTTAATTGGAAATAAAATGAGTAAAACTTGATACAAAAAAATGTTAGAATAAAACACACAAAAAAAAAGTTTATACTTAAAATATATAATTAAAATAATTAAAAAATATAATTAGGTATAATTAAATATATAAAATACCTTGTTGTGTTTCCCAGCTAAGTCCACCAACAAACAATTTTCTGCAACAGTAAAATTCTATATTAAGAATAATAATCAAATTGAAAATAAGAAAATAAATTATTCTTATTTGTAGTTGTCTTTACTAGTAATTTAATAAATATAAAATACCATTTTCTTCTCTTTTTGACCATTTATCTACCATTGGTTTTAAATAATTGTATCTATGGTTTATCTTATATTAATGTATACCACACAATTGAAAAAAATAATATTAATATAATTTATATAATTCATGAAAATTTATAGAAATAAAATAATAAGATTAATAGAACATAACAAAATTACATTACTCAAAAAACTAATTTAATATTTTTAAAATAATAAAATACATAAGAATAGTAATAAATAGACAAATAGTTCATTATTACATTATCAGTATATATTACACAACAATATAATATAAATTTAAGTCCATAAATATCATATAAATTAATATATTTCAAGTTTTTACTTTTCAAACACTTTATGAATTCATAAATGGAGTAAGTATAATATAACCCTACTAGGACATAGTAAAAATATTTATAATAAATAAAAGGTAAGAGTTACAAGACAATAACATAAATTGGGTTGTTGTATAAGAATAAATAAAATTTATAAATATGTTAACACTGTTAATATTGAAATCAGAATTATGTTTTTATAATTTAAACATTTAAAAAAATAAAGAATAATTTAATTTAGAAAATGTAGTATTCACTTTTCTCAAATCTCTTTATTAGCAAACTAATAAATTGGATTGATTATTTTTTTTTTTTACAAATTTTAAATAGGTAAAATTGTATTTGAATTTGTTCATGAGTCAGATTTAATTTAGTAATATGTAGAAGATGTACTACAATGGTGTCAGAATTAAACTAGTTAATAAAAAAAAAAATGGTCCTCTTATGAACTATATCAAAAACGAGCAAATTTCATACTATCTTAATAAAATACATAATAATAAAATACAAAAAACTAACAAAAATTTAGCATTTATCTGTATTTAATTTTATTACACTGATCATAAAATGTAGATATTATATTCTTATTTAGAATTAAACTACAGCTAAATTATTAATTATCTAAATATAATATATATTTATATATACATACAACAGTTTAGCAATCATAGATATATGTATTAGGTTCATTGAATTTCTTCAGCAATAAAATTAAACTATACAAAATAAATGTATAAAATAAAACTGTCAATATTAATAACCTCTTCTTTTCACATTCTTTACTCAAGTACACACAATTTTGAAGTTCTATAAATTAACTTTGCTACCATTCCTGATATTAATAAATTAAATTAAAAAATAATGACATGAGGAAATGTTAAGTTGAAGAAACTATACAAAAAAGTGTCTTACTTTACATTATAAAGTATAAAAATGAGTATAAGCACTTGGAATACATATTAAGTTTACAGGGAATAAATATAGTTAACTATCTAGTATGGCAATTATAAGTAAGTTACTTTTAATACTATTTGTGGATTGTTTAATTATATTTTTATAACTTACTATATACATTTATTTTAAATGATAACATAATTATATTTAATACTTTTAAACGTATAATACAACACAATATGATAAATACAATTGTATATCTATTTATCTTAACAATACTGAATAGTAATTTAAAATAGCTTTATGTTATATTTATAAAGTATTATAAAATTTAAATATACAATATAACTTAACAAAAAATATGGTTTTTCAAATAAATAAATTAAGAAGAAAAAATTTGATTATCCTTGACACTGATAAGTATAATATATATTTATTTAAGAGAAATAAAAAAATCAAATAATAAGTGTCTATTTAAAATTTTTTTGTTCAATTAATCATACATAAATTAAGTTGAAAAACATTTGTAGGTTTGAATTCAAGAAAAATTATAATTTTATAATTTAAACAAGACATAGAATAAAATTAATAATTATAAATATTGGAAAAAGTTTGAAATAATATTATTTAATGATTCATAAATAAATCAACTAAAATTTATTAATATAACAAATTTAAATCAATATATTTAAGTACAAAATCTTACATTGAAAATCAATCAAAATAAACAAAACCTAGTTTAAAATGTATATACTGCAAAAAAATAAAATTATTTGTTTTATTTAATTCTTGAAAATTAATAATGTTTAGGTATAATATGAATAATTTTTTAAACATAAAATTCTTCTAGATATAATTCAAATATATCAAAATTCAATAAAATATTAATAAATTCCAACAGTGATAATTATATCTAATACAATTTTACTGAACAAAGAAATTTTGGAATTTGATAACGTAGCTATGTTCTAATTCTAAGATAAAATTGTTAATTTTATTTTTTGATATGGATTTGGAAAAATATATTAGGTATAACCAGTACAGAAATTAAACACTATAATAAATAAACATAAAATGTTTTAAGCTAAAACATTAATTTCCAATAAAAAAATCCAAATAGGTACATAATATAAGCAGAAAAGTTGTAGAAAATTTGGCAATTAAAAAAAATAATATAAAAGTATTCTAATTTCAAAAATCAAAATTAAGAATTTATGTATATTTGGTACAATTTACATTTGTATAAGAGGAACTAAACTTAAAATTAAGTTATCACTTGTTGAAATCTTATACAACGAAAACGCGTTTTTGTATAGAAGGCGGCGGCGATGAATTAGAGCCGGTTTTGTACGTCCCGAAAACCTAAATGCTAATTTCACTAAATCAGTTAAATGGAATTTACGAGTGAGCGGCAAATCGTAACTCATAATAATTTTAATTAATAAAGAATTATGGACGAGTGAGAAAACGCCGGCCGTCTAACTTACCCTTGTTCGTCCTCTTCCAGTTCAGATTTGCCTCTCATCTTGTCGTATTCTTTATAATTATATTACACAAAAATATAAAATCAAATGAGTAAAAAAAAAAATTATAAAAGTAAACAAACGGGTGTCAAAGACGTGCAATAATATATATGAAAATTTACAAAATTTTTTTCTAAACAAACGACTAAAGTCTAATTGTCCGGTCGTCGGACATTTAACATATCGTAGCGACACAAAAACACGACACGTCCGACGCAAAATGGCGTCCGCATTTTTTCTCTCTCCTAAAATTTCGGCATTTCACGATACGCGGCGTTGTCGAACTCTTGTCAACCGATTGATCATTTATCCAACGTCTTTGGTCGGACTCCACGCATGGATTTTGTTGGCTGTATTTAAATTGTTTTTATTTAAAATGTATAATTATGAACGCTTTGAATGTAATGTATAACAAAACAATGAGGGTCATGTGACATTATTCCGGAATATTTTTAATTTCAATACACTTACTTTACACTAGAATCCTTTAGGCCGACTCTGCGGTCAGTGATAATGATAAACCGCGTCACCGGTACAACGGCAACGTTGCGGACGCGCACGGCTCGCTCTCGCGGCCGCATCGTGTAAACACGTACCAAAACTTTAACGAGAAAAAAATATATGCCTGCCATATTTTTATGTGATTTTTTGTGTTGTTTTCCGGCTGTACTGTGTAACCAAAACGTGCTTTGTCTTTTTTAAATTTCACATTTATCGTGCTAATACCTTTCAAGACGTTGGGAAGCGTCATTCCCATTGCTGTTATATTCGCCGGCAATGTCATCATCTAACGTCGGATTGATTGATGACGATTCTGGGTAACGTTTTTTTCGTATTAATATCTTAATGTTATTTTAGTGTATGGTTAAGTTTTTAATTTTCCATTGCCAGTAGTCGTGAACTTTTTATTCGGCTCTAGACTATTGACTAACTTGCTAGCTCTATTGATTTTACGATTTGGTTATGTGGGAAAACCTTTTCCAATGATTATGATCTTGCTATCATATTAATTAAATTAGGTTTTATAGTACTACCCAGTGGCACGGCTTGGATAAACTATATATTTCAACTGAAGACTTAAATGTTGGTGTTTTGACATTTTTATATTTATTGTATTTTTAATGGCGACCTATATTATTTAATTCATATCTGTAAAATTTAGATGCCAGTTGTATAAATTACATTTTTCTTTCTTCATTTAAAAATGAAATGCCTCGGTTTTTAATTTTTTTCACTCATTCTTACATATAGTTTTGAGTTATTATACCTTAAACTGGTTATCCATTTTACTGTTTAACTTTTATTCTAGATTTAGGTATAACTAGCATTTTTCCCAAAGAAAAGTATCATCAAATCTATCTATCTCTTGTTTGGCTTTAAATTATTTTAAACTTGTAAATTAATCCTATCTATCTATATTTTCTCCTTATAAATATGCATTAATAATACTTAAATATTTAAGAAATATGTGTGAATGTTAATTTTATTTTTGTCAGTTCTTAATATTTTTTTCTAATCTAGTAGAGTAGATACCACCTCTGAATTATGTATACTATCCAATTGAAATATATCTTATAATACAGATAATATAATATGCTTAATATTTCTAATCTTCTGTGGGTACTGTGCACTCTACCACTAGTTGATAAAATAAACATTTCAATAAATATTTTTTTTTTTTTTTTTAATGAATGTTGATTTTTATTAATAAATACAAGACCAGATTTTATTTCATTTTTAACAAGCTATAATGAATTTTTAATTTATTGTACTATTTTTACATTATAATATATATAACATTTACTTATTAAAATGTGAACTAAAAATTGCTGTATCTTATGCATATTTTCTATACTATTTTTATAAAAAAAAAAGTTGGAAATTATTTAAATGTGTAAAAATAGTCTTAAGTTAAAAATTATGAGTTATATTTAGTAAATGATACCTGTATAATTTTCAAAATTATATTTTAGAATATGTAAATGTTTAAATAAATGTATTTAATATGTAAAATAATAAATAGGTAGATATTAATTATAAATTATGTAATTCATATGAATAAATTTACATGGGTATAGATTAGAACATTTTCAAAAAAATTATTAGGTACCTGACTTATAGATAATAATATCAAGTTAAATTTTTAAATTATAACATTATTTTATTACATAGCTGTATATTGCATAGAAAAATTTATTTGTTCTCTATATTTAGTAATTATAATTAATTGGTTAAAATAAAAAATGTTCTAGTTGTGTATTAAATTCAATCTCATATCAATAATGAGTCCAATTCAAAAGATTTTATGTTTAGATGAGTAGGTATACTGATGTGTAACTGAATTACTATGGTATAGGATTTAGTATCTGTCGACAAATCATTTTTATATAATTTTAGAATTATTACTCTTAGGTATTTTATTACTAATTATTAGAGGTGTTTTCATAATTTGAACTTCATATCGTACAATTTTTATTATATATATATTTTATGGAGCAAGCTAGATTTGTTTTAACTTATGAAAACCCTCTTTGAATATTAAACAATAAAATCCCATTCTCCTCATTTGGTTATAAAAACCATTTTAGAATATTGTACACTGAAGAACCAAAATATAAACATATGCGATCAGAAGATGATGAGACCCGCAAAATGAGTTTGACCAAAAAATCATTCAACCCAAATTGGTTGAAGTTTAGCATGTTCAAAGATTGGCTGTTGCCTCATAAACTGCCAGATAAGGCTGTGTGCAAGGTTTGTCATTGTGTATTGGTTGCTGGAAAAAGTGAGCTTGAAAAACATTTAGCTACCCGCAAACATGAAAGAAACATGGAAAAAATCAATGGTTCTCCTGCTGAACAAGGGGATGATATTGAGACTTATACAATCATTTCAGGTAGAGTATCCTACAAGATTATTGTTGTCTAGGAAATTGTATATTCTAAACTGTCCTTCAATGTGCGTAATTTTAATGTTATTAAACTTTAATAACACAAATATTTCAAAAAATATTGTTCTAATGATTATGGTCAGAACTTTTACCTACCCTTATTCTTATTATAATATAGTAAAAATGTACATTATACATTTGCATTTAACTACTTAAATCAAAATGAATTGTTAATGTCCTAAGTAAGTACCTTTTTAATATCTAAATTTGCATATTTGAGGTTGAATGGGTTAATATTTCAATCTAGTGTATGATTGATAAGTTATATTTAGATAACTATTTGAACGATTGTACTGTCTAAAAAAATAGGCTTTTATTGCTTTATTTTGTTGATATTTTACCAAATCTATTTATTAACTTTATATTAATTGTGTATGTATCTAATTTATTTTCTTTAATTGGAAAATAATATTTTAATATAATAATTATAGAAATTAATTTTATTAGGTCTGGATTTGTTGTTTGAATGTGAACATTGTTAGCAATGTTAAAATAACCGATAAATACTTATATTTTATTTATTAAAAGTTAATTAAAGAATAAATAATTATATTCTTGTTTTTTTATATCTAATATTTCAAATATATTTTTCTTTCATTAAATGAAAGTTTACTATTTTTAAATTAGACTTTTAAGCAAATTGCTCATATAATTGTATTGTCTTGGTAAAAAAAAAAGAATAAAGCAAACTACTGTCATTTCAAAATTGTTTTTATTGGTGTAAGCTCTAGTTTTTACCAGTTAATTATTAAGGCTTTACATGTTATTTTAACTAAGAATTTTAATAATTTTAAGGTATTATTTAAACTAATCTGATCAGCTATTTTATAATGGGAAATATTAAGTTATAGGCTACTTAATTAGTTTATATGTTATTATTTTTTGCAGCAGTTGAAATTCAGTAACCCGCGGCATTTAGGGATTTTCATGGTATTTGAAGCAGAAAGAACAAACTAAATTTTAATTTACCTTTTTTGAGTAAAAACAGTTGTTTGATGCTACATGATTTCAATGTCTAACGATCAACAGCACGAAGAATATACTATATTAACAACAACTGGCTCAAACAATCGAGGTCAAATGTCTCAACCTCATCTTACCTTTACACCGCCTACTCAAATTTTTCGTACTGAATGGCAGCGTTTTCCAGAATTTCATGCTTGGTTACGTCCCATTGATGGGGATGTAACTAAGGCTTGGTGCATAGCATGTGAGCGTATGTTTCGTGCTGATTTAAAGTCATTGAGAGTACATGGAGTAAGTAAAGCTCATGTGCGTATGGTTCGGGCTCGCTGCCCTAATGCTGACGACAACCCTGTACCACCAATAGAATACAATGTGGTAACTGATAAAAAGGGTACTTATGGCATAGCTGTAGTAACTAATAAAGAAGACAAATCTTCACTTGCATCAAGAGCATTATATATGAATCAAACAAACCCTACTGAAGAAATAATTACATCTGAAATGGCTGCACAGTCACAACGGGATAAATATGTTGTGGTATCATTACCCAATGAAGATGATGATGACAATGAAGGTCCGCAGGCTTCTAGCTCAAATACGCAATACATACAAAAAGAAGTGAATGTAATCGACGAGACTGGTAATTTGGTGTCTGTGGTTACTGAACATCATGTACAGAAAAATAAAGGTAAAATTTAGGTGTCCTGGTCAGAGCTGCAATAATAGTTTTTTAAAAAAAAATTGTAGATTTATCTTTGTATTTCTAATGTCAAACATAAATATTTTTAGGTCCAACTATCAAATTATTAGTAGGTAAATTAAATATAGACCGTTGAGTTAAAAGGGTTGAAATTAATTTCCCAAAGAGGGTTTTCAAGTTCAAAGGTCCAAGTGTTAACATAATGTTTTAGTGCATGTGTGTTGTACATTATAGCAGTACTTGTCATATAAAATTTAATTAATTAAATTCCTCAGAAAGCAGAACTCGCAGGTTGAATCTGAGATCCAAACTGCAGATAATGCTGATGTTGAAGCTCAAAAACAATCTGCTGATGAAGATGACATAGCAATAGAAGAGGTTTTGACACCATTGCGTATAAAACAAGAATCAGCTGCTAATCGTACTCATATGATGAAACGTAAACGAGGCCTTCAAAAATATCGTGCAGATTGGGAAAAATTGTCTGAATTCAGAGGCTGGTTGCAACCAGAACCAAAGAGTTGCTATAAAGCTCGATGTGAAGCTTGTGACAAAAGTTTAGTTGCTGATATCACAGTGTTACGAAATCATTCACAGGCTAAAAAACATGTCATGAAAACTGGAGGTACAGTTTATGAAGGTCCGATCGTAAGAAGCAAATCAAAAATTAAACCAGATGAATATGATGAAGATTCTCCTGATGACTTACAAATGAAATCTTTGAGCATTAAAGGTTTGGATATTGGGTATTTTTTGTATGTCTCCATGAGTTTATAGCTTTTAAATTTATATGAAAACATTTATTTTGAATAAATTTAATGATAAACATAACATAATAAATAAATATATATGAATTATTATTAAAGCTATAAACTCTGATCATACATTTTTTATTAATTATATAATTACAATTGAAGATCATAAATCATTGTATTAAAATTATTTAGATATTGTTTAGTTAATTAGTAATTATCGGTTTTTATTTTTGATGTTAGTTTTGGATCTTCAGTTGTTTAAAACGTGTTTTGACCTATTATAATTGGTCAGAGCTTACGCGTTAAATGTTGTATTTCTAACCAATACATATTGTATATTAGGTAAATTATAAACCCACTTAATTAGGTTTGAGACCGTATGTTTGAAGGACAGTTTTAATCAACAAGCCCTGAAAAAGTTGGTCAGAGCTTTTACCGTGTGCATTTCTTTTTGTATTATAAACTAATATTCATTATGTTAATACTTGTGACCTAAATATAAACTATTTGTTATAAAAAGTCTATTCAATAAAACTAATAAATCCTATATCAATGTTAAATTATTCAATTATTTATAAGTTGCATAAATATATTTGAAGTATTTTAAGAAAAAATCCCATTTATGTATATATGTATATGTATATATATGTATGTATATGTATGTATATGTATATGTAACCGAAAAATTGCAGCTCTGACCGATTTTAATAAATGGTTGTTTTGTAAAAACATCTATTTCCTAAATCAATTGATTAAATAAAAATGAATGATTTTTTTTTTTTTCGATAGACAATGATGAGGATTATGAAGTTGGTATTCAATCAAATGACTATCATAGTTCATCTAATTATGAAAAAATAGACCAAAAACATGAAGAGATCCAGTGTAAAGCTATTGGTATAAATAAATAAAAATCTGTGACCTGTGATTGTATTAAAATAATAAAATCTATTTTCAATTTTCAGTTTCGAAATCTGCCCCATTTTGGAAAGCTACTGCTGTTGTAAATGGTCATGTAACCGAATTAAAACTTAGTGACTACAGTGGTCGATATTTAGTCTTATTTTTTTATCCTCAAGATTTGTAAGTTTAAATTTAGTTTTGTAAATTTAACATAGTAATTTAAAATAATATATTTAAAACTGAAATTATTCTATGTTTTGCTAAATTTACATATTATATTTAAAATGAATGAGGAAAAAGTTATAAAATTAACTGTTTTTTATCCTTCATAATTTCTCTTTAAACAAATAAAATAAATTCACTTATATTTTCTTTACTTAAACAGTTTAGTTATTGACATTATGTTTTATTTATTAAGTCAATTATATATTAGTTTAGTTTAATTCATAAGTTCATTAATTATATTTGTTTTTAAGTTTGTTTGTTTTTTAAGTTTCTATCGCCCACACTAATACCGTACTTAAAAATTATTAAGGTGACGGCTTCGCTTTTGGGCCATATAAAATTGGCTTTTTTTTTTTTTACACGACTCAACATTTATATATATTGATTCATTTCAATTTAAGCCAAATAAGTTGATAAAAAAAAATATGTTAAATTATTAAATTTGTTTCTCCGTAAGATTATGCCCATACTAATACCGTACTTTTAAATTATTAAGCTGACGGCTTCGCTTTTGGGCTATATAAAATTGGCTTTTCTTTTTTACACGACTCAACATTTGTATATATTGATTCATTTTAATTTAAGCCAAATATGTTTAATTGATTTAAAAAAAAAAAAAAAAAAAAATGTTAAGTTAATTAAATTTATTAATTAAATTATTTCGTAAAAATATACCCATAATACTATGCTTAAAAAATATATCAATCTGACAACTTCGTTTTTTTAGTAAAATGCGTTCCAATATACAGGATTCTAAAGATAAAAGTTTAGTATCTAAGAAATTGTTCAGTTCTTGGCTTTGTATTTGGGCTACATAAAATACACACATATGTAATTCCTTAATTTAAAAATGTACTTGATTCAAGCTATACAAATTATTAATATTATAAAGAAACATGTGGTTAAAGTTATGTTTATTCAAGCAATAAATTATTTCATAAATATCTTGTCACTGAATCTTACTTAAATTAATTTACAGCTCCCGAATTTGTCCAAGTGAACTAATTGCATTAAGTGATAGAGTATCTGAATTCAGAGCGTTAAACACAGAAGTAGTAGCATGTTCTGTGGATTCTTACCTTTCCCATCAAGCATGGTCGCGCACATTACGTTCTGATGGAGGAATTGCCATTCCTAAAATGCCACTTCTCTCTGACCCAACACATGTGATTAGTAAAAGCTACGGATGCTATTTACCTGAACTTGGTCATTCTCTAAGGTGATTTCAATGTTTAACTTATCTTAATTAAATCTATGTAACTTGCTTTTTAAGTTATTTGTTCTTTACCAAGCAATAATACATTTTATTTGTTTTTTAGAGCTCATTATATAATTGATATGAGAGGTATTTTAAGGCATATAACAATCAATGATCTACCTGTTGGCCGTAATATTGGTGAAATTTTAAGGCTTCTAGAAGCTTTTCAATATACAGATGAAACAGAAACACTGTGTCCTGCTGATTGGAAACCTGGCGAACCAACACTTTCATAGTTTTATTATTAATTATAACTATTACTAAGTTAATTTTTAATTTAATCAAAAAAAAAAAAATAATAATTCTTTCTCAACTTCTTATTATTGAATTGTTTTGAATATATACTTTTTGTGTTGTTAACCTCACAGTATATATTGATTTACATCTTTATACCATAGTACTGATTGTGTAATTTTTAAATGTATGTACCTATATTATTTCTTGTTAGGACAACAATTGTGTAACTAATTTTAAATAAATATAACATATTGAATACAATAAAAAATTCTTTTTGTTTTATTTTTTTAATAATGTCAACCATTTATTTTTCATTTATTTCATGTCTGACATCTACAAATATACGAATTGTTTTATGTAGTCTTCGGTTTTTGTACAAAAAGAAAAATACTTAACTGTACATGACAAAAATATTCACGCGCAATAATTATTTACAACGTGTTCATTCAATTCAGTTGCAATAAACACTTAGAAAAAAAAATTATAAATATATCAATCTAGATAGAACAGAATTTTTTTTCGTAAAAAAAATGTATATATATATACATATATGTATGTATATTAAAATAATAATAATTTTTATCGTAATAAATCTTTCCATATTACATTATTATTATTAGTAGTCTACTTACAATTCATTGAGGCAATTTAACATTATTATTTTTTCCGGTAAAGATAAATTAAAAAATAAATAAAAATAAACGCACTTACAACATATTCATTATTAATATTATTATCTATAGATACATTATATACACGGTACAAGTATAAAATATTTTTTTGTAATATTAAAAAAAAATCAATGTTACATTTTTTAAGTATCAGTTTTGACTAAATAATAATAACCCCCACAAAAAAATTTATTTGGGACATTATTTACATTTTTAAAAAAAAGTGTTCGCTATACACAATGTTTAATGCAGAAAATGTTAACTATTTATAGGCTATAATATAAATATTAACAAAACCTCAATAATAAAGGAATTAACATTATTGATTAGCTTGAAAAAAATTCTAAAAACAATCACACGGTCAGTCTCTTTGTTTGATTTGTCTAAGGATTTTAATTAATATTTTAAATTAATTATTTTTTTTTTTTGCCCAACTGATTGAAAAACATAAGATCCGGAATTAACCTTTTATGTAAGATAGTCTACACTATTTTAATCAATTAAATTATAAATAATTAAATAAGAACCCAAAATTATTTGCAGAAAAAAAATAAAAAAATGAAAACCGTTGTAACGTAAACGAAAGAATACAACTGGAAGAGAAAATTGTATTTATATAGTTATTGAGTATGTGGAGACGGCGTATTTCTGGAACATTGGAATAGGACGCGCGATATGAGGGCCGCTACTTGTTGGTCGAGAATTTGACTCATGACTAATGACAATAGCCTCTGCTCTTGCTGCAGGAACAACGGCCGATTGTCTGGATGTCTGGACAACAGCAACAATATGCGCGCTGCTCTCCTTAACATATCTAGACTAGTTCCCATAGAGTCAGGATTGTCACGGAGTGCATTTAGCCCATGTGTACTCATTACATTTAATGCATTTTGTTCAGTCTGTTCAATAAATGCTACGAGTAATGAAACACATGGGCTTTGAAGTGCTATTGTGCGTGCCATACTACTGTCAGCAGCTGCTAAATAATGTAATAAATTGACAGCAAATTCTCTGAGTACCTAAAAATAAAATTAATGTTTCAATTAAGTATGTTTAATAAATTTTGGCTGAGCTCAAATAGGCATATTCTTTTAAGATACAATAACAAATATTACTTTTAATTAATTTAATTTAATATTTCAATATTTTATAGATAAAATATATGTTAATTATAATACATTTTAGTTTAAGTGATTAAGATATGTAAAAAAGGAAGAACACTTACTTGTTCTTCAGTCCTGCATAATAATCGAGTAAGAACATTGGCTAGTTTCTCCAATCTAGAATATGGTGGTGTAGCAATGACAAGGTCCACGTTATTATCGGTAACACACAGCTTGCACAAGCATTCTAATGCTAGACGCTGCGGTGAAAGTGGTGCTGAAGGAAATGGATCTTGACCAGCAGCTGCTGGACATATAGCCCAATGTAACAGTCCATCTAAGATTGGACGTGAAATATCTTCATTGAATGTGCTCAAATCAACATAACCAGCAATGTTAGCTAAAGAAACAAGCAAGTTTTCCCTGACAACGTCTAAATAATCCCACCACCATTTGGTGTCGTTGCCAGGTTCAATTGTATCAGCATCTGTTGTCGTAGTACAATTGAACAAAGATTCAGTGTCATCATCTGCTTTATCATAATTCCTAGTCTTAGATGAGCGCAACGGATGTTCATGTTGAGTCAATAGAAGCTTTCCAACTAAACCAAGAAATGGACCACTTTTTGCAAACTCTAATTCATTACCCGGTACAAACGAAAGATTTCTTAAGATATTTGATATACACACAGAACGTTTACCAATGGAATCTTGACTTTCACTAATTAATGATAAACTTGATTCATCTTTAGAATAACTTTCATCTTCGAAGTCCAATATGCTCTTACGTTTCAACACTCCCATTGGATCACGTATTTTAATATTATTTTTTATATTTACAATATTGTCAATACTGTTTTGTACTAACTCTTTATCATCTACATCTACTTCTTTTTTTACACATGTTTTATCATCTAAAATTTTGGCTTTAGGTTTATCACTTTTCAATAGTTTGACAAAGGGCACGAGACCAAACTCTGAGCGAAAACATGGTACAAGGAAACTTGTATCTGTTTCAGCAATGTTATATCCCATGTCATAGTTATCAATTAAATCCCATGATCTCTTACCGTTTTTAATAAACAGTTCTTTAGATCCATCAACTATTGCAGAACTTTTAATTGGTCGTTGAATAGAAAACGATGGATCTGGGAAATAAGCTTTATCATTTAGGTTTATATTATCTACAGCACCAATGTCTGGTATATCTTCAATAACTTTAGATTTTTCATACCAGCAGTAAGACTTTATATCAGTTTCCAACATTTCAACTAATGACTGCCGAAAATGTTCTAAAAGTATATCTAATAATCCAGGCATATGTGTTAGTCCAAAGTATGGAATGGACACATCATCAAATAATAAAATATTGAGCACATCCAAAGCCCAAGTAGACTCGGCTAAAAGACCTGAACGTAAAGACATCATTAATCGCCATGCATCTACTGGTGCAACATCATGTCGCATCATTCGACGACGTTTGTACAGAATTGGAGTAACAGCTTCAACACTATCAGGAGGAAAAATGACTTCACGCTTCAGCAAATTACTTCCTTGGAACATAGGCTGACCAGGCATTCCAGGCTATAAAAATATAATAAAAATAATTACAATAAAAATACAGTTATTAAATTTCTTATTTTTAACTTATGATAAAAAAAAAAATTTTAATTTAATGTAAAAAATGACATTATTTTGATAGTTACATGTTCTAAGAAATTATAAAATTAAAAAAATAGTTGTCCATCTTGAAATAATAGAGTACATATAAAATTATAAATAGTTTAAAAGTATTATAGCATTTTCTTTTTATAATTTAGTACTCATCATTTTGGGTTAAAATTTGTTTTAATTAAAATAATCAAAAATTGAAATAATTAAATTGAGACAAATTTTTGATTTACCTTCATGTGTGGAGGTGGAGCCATCGGACCATGTGGTCCATAAGGTTTACTTCCATCAGGACGAAAACCATGTCGAGGCATTCTCATTTGTGCTGGTGACATTGAACCCCAATGATTCTTAAAAAAAGAATAAAAATGATAAATATTTTATGATTTATCAAAACAAGTAAAATTATAAAAACCCAACCCATTTTATTTGTTTGTTTGCTGAAAAAATGAATCTTATATATGAATAAAATTATCCTACCTGTTGTGCACCATAAGGTTGTCCTTGTGGAGGATATCTATGTTGTTCCCATTGAGGTGGTTGTCCTGTATGTGATGGTGGCATAGATCGTGGTGAACCCTGTGACCAATTTTGTGGAGGTTGAGATCCAGGTGGATAACCAGGTCGAGGGTATTGATTAGCAGCATTTGGAGTACCTGTCCAACCTAGTATTAGTTAATACAATTCTTGGTAAGAAATAGAATATATAAACTAATGTTATATTTAAAAGTTACCTGGATACATAGGTCTTTGTTGAGGACCATAACCAGGATAACCAGCAGGTTGTGGAGGACCTGCTTGTTGATCTTTAGCAAAGTCTGGATGACGTCGAGGTTGTGGTGGTGGCATTCCTTTTCCAGGGTAAGCACCAGGTGGTGCACTAGTTGGTGGGTATCCTGGACTCTGAAATAAATATAAAAATAATATAAAATAATAATATCACAGTGAAGTGAAACAAAATTAAGTTTTTAAATATCATAAATACATTATAGTCCTTAGTAGGCCTAGAGTTAATGTATGAATTTAAATTAATAAAAATGATATATTAGTGTATATGATACATATATACACTAGATAGATAAACTTCTAATTAAATACATTTTTTTTATAATTAAGATGAAAAACTGAAATATATATATATACTTCTTTAACAAAGTCAATTCATTATATAGAGAAAAGCAATTTGTATTAGTAGTAAGATTGGACATATTTTTAAGGTTAAATGGCTAAACATTTTTACCTATTAGATGATAATTAAGTGATGACATACAATTTGTATGCATAGAATTAAATTAATTTAAAAACTATCAATAGTGATAGAACTTAAAAAATACACTTAAATCTTTATATTTTAAATATTACACCTAATTATTAAAATATTAGATTAAAAAACAACTTGCCAAAATAACTATCTTTAATGAAATTTGTTTGAATAATTTTAAAAATCAAAATTTAAAAAATGTTAACAATAAATTTGAATTTTCAAATATATTAGAAAGAAAGAAACCTATAAGATTCCAATTGCAGTTATTCAATAAAAATATTTTATGTTATAATTTAATTTCAAAATTAAAAATTAATTTACTAACAGCAGGAGGGTCTTGCCGATAGTAATCAGGCTGAGGCTGTTGACCTGGTGGATAGCCAGGAGTAGAAACCGATCCACCTTGTGTTTGGTTAACTGTGGCTGGAGAAGAATTCTGTAGTGGTGGGGGTCCAGGAAACCTAGGTGGTTGTTGGTAGCCAGCTGGTGGTGGAACTGGTCCACGACTATATGGATCTTGACCATTACCAGGTCCTTGAGGAGTATTTGGTGGGCCTTGTGGAGGAGGAACTGAACCACCATAGTTCCTAAAGAGAAATTTGATTATAGGAATTATTTTCAAGTGAAAATTAAAATATATATTTATATACCTGTCGGCATCATTTGAATAAGGTGGATATAAAGGTGGTCTCACTGGGCCACTAGGATAACCAACTGGAGTACTAGCTGGTGGATAATGTCCATATTGATCATTACTACTTGGATATTGATTATAGCCACCTTGTCCTTGGTAACTTCCTTGTGCTCCTAACATATTACAATTATTTAATTAACAATTATAAAGAACACATTGAAATATCTTAAATTATAATAAAATTATTATCTAATAACGTTATAACAAAAAGAAAGTATTACAAAAATAAAACTGTAACTTGAGGTATAAATATTTATAATAAAAAATATGATAAATAAAAATTATTTAGGCTATTAAAAAAATATACTAACTATGAAAAATTATATATATATATATATCTATATAACATTAAATATTGACCACTTATGACATGAGACTGAAATAAAATGATGTTATGGTAGTATTCTCATATTTTTCATTGGCCTTATCAACTAGTTTCTTAATATTAATGAATTTTATTTATTTATATAAAATACAATAATCTTAATCATTTAATAACAATACTATTTTCAGTAATAATTTGCTATCTCTATCTGACAAACGCATAATATAACAAAAATAGAATAAATCTATAGGTCATATTATAATGAATTTGAATGATTTTTAAACTTTAAGTTAATAATAGTTAATATTATCACTAAAAATAAAGTTTTTCTTCAATATTTAAATACAAGATTAATTTATGTTTAACCGAATTAAACAATATTACAAATGATAAATGCTATGTTAATATAACTCTATAATAATATAATTTATATTAATTTAACTATGGCATATAATAAAAAAATAACACTAATATTTTATATTTAATGAATTTTCAGCAGATCCAAAATTAGTGGAATGTTTACAACAAAAAAATATTATAGTAAGCATGATTAAAACTTTCAGTAACTATTATTTTTTTAAGTACAATATAGTCTTAATAATCCAATACATGTGGAACCAAATTACTGCAGGATTATTAAAAAACAACTAGACATTTTAAAAGGAATTTGGTAAAAATATGAATGAATTATTTATTTATTTATTTATTTATTTATCAAACTACATTTACATACAGAATTTATTTTGATAAGTAATCATGAAAATAACCAATTTATTTGATTAAATATAATTATTAACATAGACAAGTTTATAATTTTTATTAGAACTCTAATATTATTTAAAAATAAAATAATCAAAATAATAGTGGAAGTAAAAATATCATGCATTACTGAAAGAACAGGATTATCAAGACTACACTATAAAATAAAATAGCCGAAGATGTGATGGACAATTAAGATAAGGTGGCTTATTTAAACTATAGCCAGATCCAACCCGACAACTAGTGGATTTTGCTTTCCAAACATGACAGCTTCTCAAAGAAACAAATACCAACATCACTTCACTTTGTGTACAAGTACATACAACTACCATACTCAACATCCAGCACTCAATGGCTTGAGATCCATGTATCAATAAATAATAATTAATATAAGGATTCAATTAAAAATAAAAATCAGAAAAAATAATTTTCAAAAAACTTAGGAAAATATCCAACTATCATATCTTGTTATATTTTTAATATAACTATTATAAAAGTGTGATGATAAAATACATTCCTTGTTTTGCTCAAAATTTAAAATATTAGTTGTATGGTATATATATATATATATATATATATAAATAAATTTAATTAATTAAATTTTATATATATATAAAAAGAACAAGCAAGTAAACTCGTTCTTTCTAAAAACCAATTAATACTATCTTTTAAAGAAATATTACATTTAATTTAATTTAATACATTTCAAACACATTCCAAAACAGTAGTTTCATTCACGAGCTGATTAATACAATATTAAAAAGTCCTCTATAATCTTACCATGAGGAGGATGAGGTGGTCTTTGAGGCGAATTATAATCTTGTGGGCCACTATATCCTCCATATCCTGGGTAACCATCTACATGTCCTGGTCCTGGGACTGTTGGTGCTGATGGTAATGAATCTTGTGAATTAGATCCTGCAGAACCTAATCGTAATTATTTACTTAAATCCCACCTAGCAACACACTTAGTGTGTTGAACAAGATCACTTACCAGGAGAAGGCACAGATGTTGCCTTAGAGCTTTTCTTTTTTGTAGAGGACTCAACTTGATTAATTATAGGTACAGGATCTATACCCCCACGGTCAAAATGACATTCGTAGGGTAATAAGTTTTTAGTATAGTGTTTTCTTAAAGTATAAGCTGCACTTGATGATGCACCAATACCCAATAAACCAGCTACATCTTTCCATATTTTATTTTTTGTTACCTGTAAAATATAAATTTAGCACAGACTTAGTAGTAGTTTAATAAATTATGCATAGAAACAAATGAGTTGTTAAAATAAATAACATCGACTGCACACCTTGCATACTTCCATGAAACCTCCTCGTTCTTTAACATATATATACAAGCGGAACAAGTCTAAAGGGTTTTTGGAGATAGTTGGACATGTGGAAATTGGCGATCCTCTTTCTTCCATGAAATGTAATAATTTATCCAACCAAATGCGCCGTTCTGGATTATCATCCATTTCGTACAATTTACTTAAGCTATCATGTTTCTAAAAAATAATAGTTAATTTAAGTTTCAAAGTAGTATGATGCCATTATTAATATTTACAACTTAAAATGTATTATCAGTCAAAATTACTATTTGATTAAAAAATAAATTATGAAAAGGTCTATATAAATCAATATATTTAACTTAATGATTAATGATATTTAAATACAATAAATAGTATTATAACCTTATGTATTGGTATAATAATAAATTGTAATTAGATGTAGCAGTTTTTTTATTGAGATCCATAAGAATAAAAATGTAATTTTAATTAGAAGTGGATTTGATTGTACAAAAATAAAAAATAATAGCATGGAGGATAAATGAAAAGAATAACAAATATTAAAGGAAATTATAAAGGTTTAAAAAGTCTATAATAACATAAAGAAATTTTATCAAATGAGGCACTTCCATAAAAAAATAATTAATTACATTTTATTTATTTCACAATATGCATTTTAATGTATACAATAACATAATTATCAATATAAAGAATGTAGTTAGTAAACTTAATCAATAAATTTAACTGGTTTCTAAAAAAAAATGTATTTATATTTTATAGATTAATATAGCTTTTTTCAAGAAATGGCATATTTTCAAATTATCAGGCTTATTATTAGACATATTTTAAGGATTTTACCTTTGGACGATATACATGTTCATTTTGAGGAGTCATATGGCTATTAAATACTGGATTATGAGGTGGAGGTCCTCTGGGCCAAGCAGATGCCAATGGATCTGGATTAGAATATTCATCATGAGCAGGTGAACATGGTGGACCCATTATACCTCCCATTCCCTGTTGGTATATCATACCACCGCTCATATTTTCTTTTCTTTTAGGTGTTGTACAATTGGAATCTTCACCAGAAGCTAACAATACAATATCAATTAATAATTAATTAAATATAAAATTTAATAATAAAAAAATGTCAATCAATTATCTACCTGCTGAAGCATTTGATAAAGTAGATTGCTGACTTGCATCATCAATGGCAGTACCATCAGGTCCAGTGGTAATAACAGAAGTAACAGCACCACTAAGACTTTGTTGTTGTTGTGAAACTTCATGATCAACAGACATCATTGAAGAATTTGGAGGAGCCATCTGGGGCCCAGAATTTGATTGAACTGGAGCTGGTGGGCCCATACTATGAGGAGGCATTGAATTTAAATAATTTCCTGGACCAGGGCTAGGGGGCACTGGGCTTGATGTCTGATAGCTTCCAGGTCCTTTATGTTGTTGCTACAATAGTAAAATATAGTAATAATTAAAAAAAGTTAATATTAATACCAGATACTAAAAATAAATATAACAACTAAAGCAAGACATTTAAAGCAATAAAACAAAGCTATATTTTTGTTTGGTTGGGTGATCACCTGTAAATGTTGTTTGAGGTAGTGTGGATGAGGTGGTGTATGAGGCCTAGGACCTGGTGAAACAGGTGGAGGCGGCCCAGGAGAAGCACCTTGCTGCATTGGATGCATTTGATGGGCATGCGGGTGCATATGAGGTCCAGGAGGAGGTGGGTGGTGAGAATGGTGATGGTGTAATGGGGATTGTGCAGGAGGAGGATGTTGAATTGGTGATGGTTGATGTGATGGCTGATGTGGTTGTTGTTGTTGTTGCTGTGGCTGTGGAGGTTGTTGTTGCTGTTGGTGTTGCTGCTGCTGCTGTTGCTGCTGCTGCTGCTGCTGCTGCTGAGGGGAAGATGAAGGAGGAGGTACTTTGGTAGGTGTAGGTGGTTGAATTGGACCACTATGGTGATTATTATTTAATGGAGGTAGTGCTTGTGGTGGACCACTACCAGGCCATCCCTGCAAAGCACATTTTGTGTCACAAGAAGCATTTCATGGAATTTAGAACAAGCAGACAAAACACAAAAAAAAAATACAAAACCTTTTTGAAACTAACGAGTGTTTAGTAAACATAATCCAAAAAATTTATAATAAATTATAATTAAATTTTTAGTATCAAATAATAATACCCAATAAATGTTAAGTGTTAATTGAAATAAATATATGACAGAACAAATTTTTTCATTCAAAACTTACTTGATAAGGAGGAAATTGATGAGGTGGTCCATGATGCATTGGCATACCTCTAGGTGAGTATTGTTGTGGAGGACCATTACTATTAGGTGGGGGATACCCTTGATAAGGTAAACCAGGAGGTCTAGCACCATAATTACCTATAAAATTAAAATAACATTAATATTAGTACAAAATATTATTTAACATACTCAATATTCATTAATTATGGTTATATTTTACCTGGAGGCTGTTGAGGATATGATCCCATTGGAGGAGGAGGTTGTTGTGCTGGATAACCACTATGTGTAGATACGGGCGGAGGAGGTCCATAAGGATTAGGTCCAGGCATTTTATATGGAATTCCTGGAGCACCTGGTGCAGGAGCTGTCATATGAGGCATACCAGGTGGTTGTGGAGAAGGTTGTTGTTGATATCCTCCTTGTGATCCCATAGGCGAATGACTCATTCTATTGTTTGTAGTAGCTTGCCCTGGATCAGGCTGCTGTTGGCTACTTGGTGGTCTAGGTGGCATTGGAATGTTCTGTTGTTGTTGTTGTTGTTGTTGTTGTTGTTGTTGTTGTTGTTGTTGTTGTTGTTGTTGTTGCTGCTGCTGCTGCTGCTGCTGTTGAGATGGTCCACCGGGCGGTACTGTAACAGCAGGCGACATGGAACGCGAACCAGTAGATCCTGTTGGAGAAGGTGATGGTCGCAAAGGTGTTCCACCATTCCCAGTTCCACCGCCACAGTTGCTGTCGTTACTGTTTTGACTTGTCAAATCCTGTATAAAAACCTTTAGCATTATATACGCGGGAGTATATAAATAAAAATAGAATCAACAGGTCGTTTTTAGACAGTAAAAAGATGCAAAAGGATCATATGGTTGGTAGAGTGAAGAAGCGAGGGACAGGGGGTCAATAAAACATGTGAAGGTTTCGGGGAAGACCCACCGTCTGGGCCGGAAAAATACGGATGAAAGAGACGGAATAAGGAAGACAGAAGGATAGAGAAAGAGAAAACATAGAGTATACTATATACACATAAAAGGTATTCCTTCTATATTGCGGTAATTGGAAAAAGAGATGATTGAGTGGAAGATCGGAGGCGGGTAACAAAGCGCGGGGACAACAAAGTTGTGTACGATGAAAAACGGAGGGTTAGGACCTTTCCAATGACGGTGGTGGAGAGAAGGGCGAAAGAGAATGACAGAGAGCAAGGAACACGGCAGAAGGGTGGAGGGAAAACGCTATTCAACAACCGACACATATATTTATACACACATATATATACATACATATATATATGCATGCACACAAACGGATGATAAGGACATGGGCAAGAGAAGGAACAGAGGATTAGTAGAAGGGAAGAGGCACGTGTGATGCCATTCATAACATGTACAGACCACACCAGTTATTTCACCATAATTGCCAGTTTTCAATATAAATCAAATAGATTATATATGTAATTACATCTTTATAAAGTGTAAATGGTTGTAGTTCTTTTTTTTTCAATGAAATGAGGTTAAAAAACGACCAAGACCTTTTGTGACTAATCAATCATTATGCATTTTTAGAAGTTAAAATAACGGAAAAAGAAAAAAATAACAACCGAATTATGAATTGATCATTTACGGTAGTAGATACCAGACACAAAGCAAAGAATATAATTTATCTCTAACAAATCATGTAAAAAATATATAAATTTAATAAATCTATTGTAAGAATACTTTAATGCAAAACAAAACAGTCAAAACCAGTTTATTTACGTATTATAGTATTGGTATTTTGTAAAACAGTTGCACACGTAACATTATCATATATGCCATACATTTATTTTAGGTATAAAACTAAATTGTTTGTTTAACTATACTCTGATCAGTAGTAATCGATTCATAAAAATATCTAACAGTAATATTATTTAAATGTATGTTCATAATATACAATTACAATGACAATCATATTTTAATTTAGAATAATGGAAATGATTACTTACATCTCATATTAAATGTGTACCCTTTCTATTTTACAGTATAAACTTGAAATATGTATAATACATATTGTATATAACTACATGTTGGTTTTTTTTTTTAAAACAAAATTCAAACAATACATTTTCCTATTTAATTTATTTAAAAAAAAAAGATTTAATTGAATAATACTTATTGTGCATGTAAATAAATTATTAATGATAATTACATGATTATAAATATTCTTCTTTTAATAAAAATAAAATCAAAAAAAGAACCATATTTCCAGGTTGGATGAAACTCCGCGGTTGGGTAAGATACAGGAATGAGTAAATAATATTATTGTACTTGTCTTTAAAATTTGAAACAAATGTACGATTGTTTTTAAAAAGACCTTTCTGAAGATTTTAAAGATTGTTAATATCAAATGTTTTAATAAGATTGATTGAACTTAAAATGTTCTAACTTTTGAAAAAAAAAGGAAAAAAATGAGCATCTAAAATTTCAGAAAACCAAAAATCAAAAATTGACTATAAAAACACAAATTCCATTCAAATATTTAGAAACTATGAAATTTCGTTAAATATTAATAGAAGTATTTAGTAAATGATTTAAGTCACTACGATTAATGGATACTACCATATGGTTAGGTTAGTAGGTATTATCATACATGATAATATACCATACATGGTATATTATCTACAACAAAATGTGATATAAGTATTAATATAACTGACGTATTCAGTTAATGTCAAGATAAATAATTACTAATAATTAGTTATAACCAAAAAAATACTTCGGTGACAAACACTGTTTAATAAACATGAATATATTTCATAAATCGATATTAATATGTGTACTTTTTCAGACACAAATGGGATGTCTTATGTTAAGAACCACTGTTTATTTAATATTAGTTGATACTATTATATCTAAGTTAATATATGTAAAAGTGTATATTGTGGTAAAACAGTGAGACATATTATAAACTGATGCGCGTATGACTAAACGCGAATGAGATTCCCTACCCATACGACTGTTCTAAAGAATCTTCTGAATAAACCTTTTTTGCCGAACGACCAATTCAAATGCGAAGGCTCATATACGTAACAGTCTTAGTTCAGAGCATTAATACGAGAGAACCTTTAGAGCCTTCTATAACTATTATAACAATCGTACATTTTTTCTTTTAATTCTAAATATAAAAGTAATATTAGTTCGAGTGTTTGTTCATTTGTAGATGGGTTGATTATCTTTCGATAGTCCATAACACTTACAACATTATAATTAATTATAAATCATTATAACATTATACTTTTAATTGAAAAGTATTATATTTTAATTATTAAATAAAATAATTTCCAAATTATGCAAAATAACGAAATTACGAATAACAATGACAATTACTATGACGATGACGTTCAAATAAATTCAAGTAAATCAAGTTAATTAAGTAATGTACTACCTGCATCAAATGTTGAATCAAATATACAATAAGCAAATACAAGGAAACAATCGATTATAACCTTATGTTATACCCTAGAAGTAATAATATTGTATACCGTAATTCACTTTGTATACGCATAATTTTTTTTAAATGATTTTTCTAATAAATTATGTTTTAAGTCTAACCTGTCCCAAGCCGACATACATCATACATAATAAATTATGTGCTTCAAATAAAAATGCATTAATTGCTTAAGTAAATATTCATTTTATGCCCAAGCAAATAGAGAATTTGCAAAGTATAATAGATAAGTACAATAAAATAAATGAAATTAAGTTGATGGTACTGTTATATTGATATATACATTTTCTCATTATTGATCCCAAATAAAACGACAGAAGCATGGACTAAATGCTGTACAGCCTTATACATGGGATTTTATACTTTCGAAAGTCCAACATTATATTTTTGTTTTTAAAACATAATCTAAACTAGTTTTTTCAAAATATCAGTAAAATAATTAATATACTTATTTAAATTATATTAATAAAAATATTCCACTAGGTATTTTCAGTTTAATAATAAGCAAATTATAATTCATCAAGCACATAGATTAAACAAAGACTTTATAAGAACCAAAATTACAATAAATGTTGAAGTCAAAATTAAAAAAAAAAAAAAAAAATCATAATTATTTACTTAACGACTTAAAACTTTTTGGTCAATGTACAAATTAATTTCATAACCGTGGGAAATTTTCATTGGAGATTATTAAATTTAAGTACATCATGGATAATATACTCTTTAATTTTAATGATATATACTTTACTTAATTTTTACTTTACTTATACTTCATATATTCAAATTTAGAATACGTCAGTTGAAATTACAAAAACATTATTGAGAATCAAAGAATTATATGAAAATATTTAAGAACATGAATACTTTTGAAATTTCAGAATAATCTCAAATATTCTAATGATAACCAGTTATACTTCAACCCTCAACATTTTATTGCAATTAAGCTAGAGTAATTAATTTAAGATAATAGTTCGTATGAAATATCGTCAATAGAAGATATTTAAATGTGTACACATGCATCTCAAAGTAAGTCTCACTTTCATACTTACGTACACACAAAACAAGACACTATTGATGATGAAACGCTATTTCCTTAAGGTGTAAAAAAACAAAATTAAAAAAATACAATGCGGTTGAAGGCGATACATTATTAGCCCACGAATCATTAGCAATGAAGATATCTGTCAAAATTATTTTCAACTACCTAACTAAAACTAAATTAAAACTAAACTAAAATTAACTAAAAATTAAAACCTCACCCCGTTTACTACGAAGAAAAGTAGTAGTATTAGTAATATTAATAGTATTAGTATTAGTAATAGTAGTAGTAGTAGTAGTAGTAGTAGTAGTAGTAGTAGTAGTAGTA